TATTTTACGAGTCCTGTCCCCGTACATTTCGTCGACTTAGTTGCTTTTTATGCTGGGAATGTGCTGGCGGGTTTAGTGCGCCGATGTGGTCGAAAGCGCCATGGCGTCACGACTCACCATTTTTTTTGCGTAACTGAACGCATTTCACAGAAGTGGAGATGTCTATGAATTGGAAACCGCGAGAATCGCGCCCCTGGTTGAGATAGCTCCTGAGATGCTTTTGTATGCCAGCTTGCCAGCTTGGCTTTAAATGTCCTTCCATCAAAGATCAGGTTCAGAGCTTTCCGAAATCTCCCCCCCCCCCCCTTTCCCCACTGTGAGAGCCCCCACTCAAATGGTAGAAAAGCACAGGCTTCACCCATCCCTTGAAAAGAAGGCCTGCAGGTATCTGTCAGTGCCCGCAACCCAAACAAGTGAAAAATTATTCTCGACAGCGGGTGCCATTGTACCCTGCAGAAGAGAGCACCTTCTTCCGTGACATGTCGAAGAACCAGTGTTGCTGCATGAGAAATTTTGACAGATTTTATTTTGGAGATGCGACACTTTCAAAGTAGTTTCTAAATAAGTCGGAAGAAGTAAGGAACTTCTGTGATTTACCCGCTGCATTGTTTTTTTGTTTTTGTTTTTGTGATGTCGCCTTTGAACTTAGAAAGGACCTTCCAAAATGTTTTCGACACCTCTAGTGCTTATGCCTATCTTGATACTTGAAATATGTGTTCAAAGAGCTTTTTGTGATATTCTATTCACGAGTGCGTTTTGTATTATTTCAGAATAATTGTGTGTGTGTGGCAGCACCTTCATTCAACCCTTGTCTAAAAATAGCTTTTTTTTTTAATTGCTTAATATATATTGCGAAAGGATCATCTGTGATGCCCTTTACATAGCGACCTCAAAAATAGAGGTTTTTCGCTCAAAACTTTCACTGTCCTCTCTTGTTCTTTTTGTTTTTTACACAACTAGAAAGTTAGACAACTAGAGGACTTGTTTCGACATTATTCAAGCTTTCTGTGATGTTCTATTCATGAGAATCATTGAAACAATTTATATTGTCACGGTCACGCGGATATTGTTCGTTTTAAGTGGGGCTGTTATATGTGGGCTCCACTGTACTTCTTGATTACAGATAATCACTGAACATTTTTTATATCAAGAGAAGTTTTTGCATCAGAAAAATGGCTCACACCATGACAGCCTATGTCTTCTTTCCATATAATTACCAGTTATGGGTATAAAACTGGTGGCACAGGAAATTTTTAGCAGTTTATTTAGTGACGAGAGTCGGGCATATAAATATTTGTGCCCCTGCTTCATGCATGATCCTTTGCCACTCTAGCCATGAAACGCATCATGGGGCCGTTCGCGGAAACGCTAACCTACAAGGCTTTCATTGTCTTAGAACATTCATTGACGCTCGCAGCGATAACGAGCATGGCTCCAGGGACGTCTAAATCGCATCACAAAAGCTTATTGACAGCACTCCATATGACCGTGGAGTGCGCGGCTGCGTGGACGGTGCAGCCAGCGCGAGAACCACTTGGCTGCGGCATTCGGTGATGATGCGCGAAATGCGTAGCTGTGATAACAAAAAAAACGGCGCGCACTGCGCTCAGTATTGCATTTTCAAATGCCCACGCGCGAAACTGCTAGCTGCTGTTACGAGCAATCCTTGGCAGCGAAGTGGGAGGGGGGTGTTGACGAGCTCGACTGTGGGGTCCGTTGTCGATGCGTAAAATGCCCGTCGGCAGTGCTAGCGAGTGATGTGCTTCGTTGCTTCTGAAGAAGCACGTTGTTGCGAGTGAGCTAGCGCGTCAATTTCGCCCACAAGGTTCGTCTTGCCGTCAGTGGAGTTAGGCCTAAAGACAACTCGGATTGTGTGACACGCTCGTAGACCCCGTGCCCATTCGTAGTAATCTGATTGAGCATCCACTTACAGCTCCTAACTAAAGCGCAATGACATCCCAAGTGATTGTTGAGCCTTGAACACGTCACGAAGTAGCAATTTTCGTCAGCCATGCCCTCGTGACACACAAGCAGCAGACGACAATCTCACAGAGCGAGCATCGGGCCAATGGCGAGGCGAGCTGAGGCTACATGGCAGCCACAGCCAATCAGGAGCCTCGAAACGACCTTCAAACATTGTTTCTAAAGAAAAGAGCCAGTTGAGGCGGGTAATAAAGAAATGCGCCTTCCAATGAGCCTAAGAAGCCAGCTTGCGGCCGCGTCATCGCGAAGCTATAATCCTTTTAATATCGCCGTTTTCTTGCGATTTCCAGAAAACTTTTCGCTACTTAGGAGGGTGAAACGAATTTTCTGAAGCACTTCTGCGCGGTTTTCAGGGTAGATATGTAGGAATCCTATAGAAAAAGGGTTCCCAAAACTAAAAAACTTGATTTTAGAAAAATCAAATGTTTTTGCAATTTCTCGTCATACGAAAGCCGCATCTCCCCTTAAAAATACAGGTAATTGCAAAGCAAGTGCTGTCATATGTAGAGTGACACACGAACTAGCTAGGACACGAGTGAGCAGCATTCGAAAATGCTAACGGGGAAAGCCACACTTTTTCGAAATTGTTTGGGCACAGTTTGACAAGTCCAAAACCGTTAATGGGAAAGCCTTAGATGACTCATGAAGCACGAAAATTAGCAGGCATTTCGTGACAGCGTTCCCCTCTGCGTCTACACCAGATGTAAAAAAGTCATCAGAAACACCATCACCTTATGCAGTCATTACAATGAATGATGTCACAGTCATGCCATCAAATAACGTCATAGCTTGGTCAACTGTAGGCTGATCATAGAGGCAATGCAAAAACGGGCGAGTTGCCACCAATCCTGGAGGCAATGCAAAATTGGGTGACATGCCATCGATCCTGGAGTGAGTGTAAAACTGGGTGAGGTGCCATCGATCATGAATTCAATGTAAAACTTAGTGAGGTGCCTTAGATCCTGAAAGCAATGCAAAATTTTCCACATTAGGTGCAGGAAGCTGCACTATGGAAAAAGTTATTGTCTCCTGCTCTTTCGTAGCATTTGCAACCACGGAAACGATGATTAAAGCGTCACGCCAGGCGGAGAGCCTCGCCCACTTTAAGAGTAAGGTGCTACGCAATTCTAAGGCGTAAGCTAAATATTGGACAAAGCAGCTGCACCAGAGTTTTGACAAGATGGCTCTCAGGTACTGTACCAACGCCGTCGGTTCAACAGCGTGGCTGGGTGAGGGAACTACTTTTTTTTTGTTAGAAAGAGAGTTTATTAAACTTGTGAAGTTTCATATCTCGGCAATACCACCATTAACTCAATTGAAGCGAGGCCAGAATTACCGTAACGTGCAGGGCAGGGTGCGACGCAAGAGAAACCTTGGGCCATATTTTGCAGCAATGCCCCAGGATGCACCATCAAAGGATTGAAAGGCACGACGAAATCGCTCATTACCTGACGCCTCGACTGAAGGGAAAAGGATGGAAGGTGCTCCAAGAACCCCACTACCGAATATCACAAGGCACGGATTCCAGATTTGGTCATTCACAGAGACCAACAAAGTGTGGTACTGGATGTGCAGGTCGTGGGAACTCGGGTAGCCCTCTCGGATGCATAAGAGCGAAAACGAAACAAGTAGGTACCTGTTCCCTGACCTCACCAAGCAAATAAACACCAACTCTACTCCAGTCGTGGCTGCAGTGACAATGTGCTATTGAAGCACGTGGGCCAGAGAATCTGTGAACATCCCGGCAAATATCGGACTTGGCCGCAATTATTTCAAAGTGATGTCTATTCGATGCATGCGGGGTGGCCTGAAGGCCTTTACCGTCCACCAGAAAGCGACGGCGGTGAGACCCAGTCAATCTTAATGGTTACAAACGGTCTGGTCTTGATCACTAGATGCAATACCCGTCGGTCGATAAGCAACGGTCGTCGGAATTTGGGTTCCTCTGCCCTTTCAGAGGGGTTATAGATTGAATTTATTTGGTTGTGTCTAACAAAAAAAAAACAAGGCACTAAAAGAAAGATTGACCTTTCACTCATGTTATGAGATATGCCATCGTAGAGAAAATTGATTGATTTCGACAACGGTTCCTAAACGAGCGCATCATGTTAATTTTAAAGTGTAGTACACGAGCCTTCAGCATTTCATGCCCATTGAATTGTGACTGCTGTGACTCGTTTCCAATCCCAGGTCAGAAGTCAAGCACATAACAGCTGAGCGTCTGCAACAGACTACCATGTGAAACTCGACATGCCTGCTTCAAATAGACTTAACGGCAAGTCCAAGCTATTCCCAGATATAATCGTTTCTCATTTGGTTACATCAAAAACATTTTGTTCAACTATTCTGGCTGTTAGCCAACAAAAGAAAAAAAAGGATGGGCCGAACCTGTTTGCCAAGCATGCATTACAGTAAAAGCTCATTTATCCGGACCTCGTTAACTTGGAAATTCAGTTATCTCGGACTCGCGGCGCAGTTCCAGCAAAACTGTATATTTCAATGAGGTCAAATGCTCATTTAATTCGGAGGGATTTAGCCGCACACCGGTTATCACGGACAACTCTAGAGAGGGCTACGACAAGCCCCGCTTGTCATAACCGACGGCAGAACCGCAGTTTTGGAGAAACCGAAACCGAGCGAAGGATGAGCCGACGCGACGTCACCGCACCGTGCAAGAGGCTGCCGAAGCACTCGCTGTCCTCGAGAAGTTCTGCGTTTGTTCTCGCGACAGTGAACATGCGCACCACCACCTGATGGGATTAAAAAAGATCGTTCTGTCAGAAATTCCGACGGGAAAGCAAGCAAAAATAATGCGCTTTTTTTAAGAAATAAAGGTTTGTCTGTGTCATGTACGTTTTCCTTTTGTTTTTATGGTCCATTCAATAATTCGGAATTCGGTTAACTCGGGACATTTTCCCCGGTCCCATGAGATCCGAGTTAACGAGCTTTTACTGTATTTCAAGTACATTTCCATTGTGGATGATGACCTACAGAGACTGAAGGCTCGTTGCGCTTACCTGCCTTGCCCACGGTCTGCCCAAGCGCCTGCAAGAAGACTGTCTTCATGAGCCAGGCCTCTGGGCTGCCGTCCAGGTGCGGGGAGAAGTGGTAAGGCAGCCAGTAGTCGCCTCGCTCTTGCCACAGCCGACTGCCGCAGTCTCGCACGGCCGCATCCTCACTGCACAGGATCGGTCAACCAATCAGTCCACAGTGTCGAGAACATTGTCTCTAAACTCTGCATCTGTTGGGTACGGAAGAGTAACCATGATACAAATCTTGCAGGATTTCAAGAAATAATCACATCAGATAAAAACGTTGAACCATAATGCACCGAAATTGTAACAGGCTACTACTATGCCTAGCAAAAAAAAAAACAGATGGAAACTGGTGATCGTATTTGATTACACTCAAACCTCATTACAACAAAGCCATATCTGCCACGAAAATACTTTGCTATATCCAAATATTTGTTACAAACATTTATGCTTAACAATGTATATACAAAAACTATTTTCAATCACTTCATTATAACTAATAAATATTTATATCCAGGTACTCCTAATTGTACAGCAAGTGCATAAAATTTAAAAAACGAAGCATTCTGTCCCACACCAGCTTTTAGATCTTTCGCAAGCTTTGTTCAATTTTTCACCAAACACCGGTGTACCGCGACGAAAGTAGCTGAAGACAAGTCTCGCATACGACCAATGCCAGAAAATTGAGAAATGCAGTAACGAAATACAAAACCAGACAATTTGGACACTGGTGTTTTTTTTTTTTTTTTTTTCAAACAAATATTCCACTTTACCAACTTCTATTTGTACTGAAACCTTCATACAGTTGAACCCTTTCTTAAGAGGCATGCTTCAGGCCTTCAGGCAGCAGTTCTTGTCTTTTATAAGAGACGCCTTCAGGCAGCAGTTCTTGTCTTTTATAAGAGATGTCGCTTATAAACAGGGTACCTCGTATGCATTTTTTTTTATCAACCTATATTTTACTGTAGGCACACTAACGTCTCTCATACAGTGTCTATAAAGTGTCTATGTATTAGTGCCTTTCAGTGTCTCTTATAAAGGGGTTTGACTGTGTAACAAAATAGGTATAATGAAGTAAACGAGAAATAGCCTTGCGATAGATGCAGTGTTAGGAATAACTTTTATACAGTCAAACTTCGTTGTAACGAAGTTGAAGGGGAAGTCAATTGCCTCATTAAAACCATTAGTTTGTTATAGCTAATATCCATTTCTACCAACAATTAGCCCGCAAGAGAGAACATACCCACTAACAAATATCACAGCTGTCCTTCGGGCAAATTAAAACGGCCGTCGTAAGGCAAGAAACTATGAAAATAATAAAGAACAATGCCCTTTATTTCTGCCAAATTCAGCACACCAGCAGACAGATCACTTCGAATAAAAACACACCTCAATAGACTTTTGCCGACTCTTCCTCACACGAATGACTGCTTTTTCAGCTACAGCACCTATTTGGAGCCCATCCTTGCAGTCATCGTAAGCACGTAAGAAGCAGCCCAGCAGGTCTATCGCATCAAGCGCTTGCGCGGGCGTCAGTACGTCGGGTACGCCAACATTAGGCTCCAGAGTGTCAACTCATTCGTCATTGTCATGCATGCCCATCACCGCAGGCACAATTTCTGCATCAGACAACTCTCCAGTTGTCTGCGTGTTGGCCTCGGCACCGGCGTACATGCAGAAAGTGTAGCAGTAAGGGACAACGCCAGCCTCAAAGAGAGCGTCCTGCAACGTCTGGGCCTGGTCGCCCGCTGCACCCACACATCGCCAAAATCTTCGGCCACTTTTTTTTTTCTGGATGCCAGACTCGAGGGCTTTTAACGTTGCAGACTTCTGCTCAATTGTTATAGTTCTGCGCTTAAGTTTGCCGCTGTCGTAGTCCATCTCGTATCTAGGGGCAGAAACTGATAAAGGAGGTGTTGCTCTTCCACAGGAGAGGGGAGGCCGGCTGACGCGCACACTCGCGCAAGTTGCCGCGCGGGCGAGTCTATTAGTTCCAGAGGAGAAGGGAAGGGGGGAGACTCGCTCCCACACGCGTTGGCAAGCTACTTCTGTGAAGCACAAGGTGCGAGCTTAGAATTACCGCGGCCGTGATGAGATGTTCACCGTCACGCGCTGTAAGATATGAGAATTGACGTATACAGAAATTATCAGTAAATGCTCATTGTAGGCGAGGAATAGTTCGTTGTATCCATTGTGGGGAAATTTTCACTTCGTTAAAATGAGGTTTTAAATACATGGGCGTCTATGGGAATTTCAAGGGGAATTACAATTGCTTTGTTATATTCATTGTTTCGTTATATCCCATTTTGTTATAATAAGGTTTTACTGTAACGAATTTTAGGATGCAAAAAAAAAAAACTATTTGCGTGTAATATCAAACTTTGTTATAATGAGGCTTGAGTGTATCGAGATCCTACTCTATACTGGAACAGTTTTCCCACAAACACCCGCACAAAAACAGACTGGCAACAGACTCTCAGAGTTCAAGGCAACAGCCAGGGCATACCTGCGTCCTGTGCACACTGCGATGCAGCTAAGTTTCCTCCAGGCATCCACACTGTCCTTGTTGTCAGGACAGTCGACGAAGTCTGCCAGCAAGCGCAGGCACTCAACCACGCTGTCCACACCTTCTTCTGCACAAGCGACGAAATGTGCTACACTCAGACCTTATTATAACAAAGTTCCACCTTACTCGAAAATAAGTTCATTATATCCAAAAATTTGTTATGAAGGTTTGCTCCTAGCACTATATCTATTGCAAAACTATTTTTCATTTACTTCCTTATAACCACTTGATTATATCTACGTTTGTTATATTGAGGTTTGAGTACAATGCGTAAAGTTAAACTTGCACTTAGAATAAAAGTCTTTTAAAATTAAACTGTACTTTGAACAAGAAAACAGAGTAGAAGTAGACAAGACGAACAGAAACTGACAACAGACTCACTGAAATCGCACAAACTTGCCTCCTGGAGCAACGCGCGTGCACATTAACAGCCATTACGGTGTGATGACAGTCCCCTCCCCAACCAAGATCCCTATCTATCTACGCAGACAGTCCCAGGTTAGAGTTTTTCAGTCATACAAGTTGCGAAACTGCGTTTCAAAACTCTGACACACAATTGGCCGGTTTCGCAAGAATTTCCTCGCTCTTTTTTGCCCTCACCCTGTTTCGACATGTATAAGGTCTGCAGTATTGAATAAAGAAAAAAAGAAAAAAAGAAGAATTAGCAGACTGTGACGCCATATGGGAACAGCAACGCAAAACGCAAATGCATTCAATAGCTGGTGCGCTGATCAAGTGCCACGACAATCTGGACACTCCAGACCCCTGGGCCAATGGCATCCGGTTTTCGATACGTGGGGCCAATGGGGAGTTTCATAACTTGTACGATTAAATAACTTTGGTCCTAGTGCGATGATGTTTATTCAAACAGAGGAGTCGCAGCGAGGTCGCGACGGAAAATAGGCGTACGGCAAGTCTGGCGAAGGCAGCACAGGTTCTCGCGCAATCAGAGCACAGGGTTTTTCGTTCTGTTTGGAAGGCGCATACGCGTTAGTGTGTATGCTCCACTACAATACCCCCCCCCCCCCCCCCCGGGGTGAAGAGTAGCCATCCTGGCAACCCAGGGAGTAGGCAGAATGAGGGGGTCATAGTAGGGCTTGAGACAGTCGACGTGCACGGTCTCGCGTCCTCGACGGCGCAAATCTGGCGATTGTGTTAGGGGCTCGATGGTGTAATTCACCGGCAAGATTGCGTTGTGGGGATCTGAGGCGCGCCCGCGACCAATTCGCGGGCATTCCGCCACGCGGCCACACCCTTTTGCTTTTCTGCTCTGTTAACACCACGTGGGGATAGATGGCGCCACGTGCGGGCACGGCACGCGATACGCGCGCGCCGAGAGAGCGCTCTTTCCTCCGTGGTCGGCGCCCGGTAAGCACGTTTTTTCCTTCGTCCGCGTCCCCTTTGGGAATCGCCGGACTGTAGCCTGCCTGGGGTGGCCTTGGGCACCTCGGCAGGCGTGTTTACTTGAGTGCTAGCTTCGGTAGCGTACGCTAAGCCCACAGTGGTGCCTAGTGCTTGAAGTGGTCGTACCACAACGAGCCACACTTGCCGTAGGCCTACCCGTACGAGGTTTGCCCTAACACTCGCGACCAGGCCCATTGGCCATCGTGAGAGTGCGCAGCATAGCCGCGAGGGACCTTTTCCCGACAGGCGTGTCAAAGCTCGCCACCGCCAGCTGCGACGTGCTCGCGGTTTTCCCCTTATTGTGAACGTCCGCGTGCGGGTGCCTTTGCTACCCGCATCCCGGGAGCGACCGTTGTACTGTTGTTCGGGGTGCCGCCCGAGGCAATAAAGTGTTGTGTATTTTTGCATTAGAACACTGTCTATTTGCCGCGCCGCGCTAAACGCCTTATTAGTTGAGTTATTAGTTGAGTTATTAGGCTCGCTATGCGTGAACCCGCGGTGATCGTCCGCTGCAGTTAGTAGCGGGGTCGCCACAGCGTCAATGACACGGTATGGACCATGATACCGGGCCAGAAGCTTAGAAGAAAGGCCAGGAACGTGCGGGGGCACCCAAAGCCACACAACGGAGCCAGTACGAAACGTAGCCGCTATGTGATGAACGTCGTCATGTCTGGTTTTTTGTAGACCTTGAGCCTCACTTGTCAGACCGAGCCAACTGACGGCAGCCTTCAGCGTATCTGGCGACTTCCGAAAGCAGGGAGCACTCCGATGCATCAGGGCGGTACGGTAGTATAGTGTCGAGTGGGTGGGATGGTTCACGGCCGTACAACAGAAAGAATGGGGAAAACCCGGTAGTCTCTTGCAACACGGTGTTGTAAGCGAAGATGACAAATGGTAATACAGCGTCCCAGTTAGTGTGGTCGGAGGAGGTGTACATCCTGAGCATGTCGCCGAGTGTGCGGTTGAACCGTTCAGTGAGACCATTCGCCTGTGGGTGGTATGCGGTAGATTTCTGGTGGATGATAATGCATTCAGCGAGAATAGCTTGGATGACCCCCGACAGGAATACTCGACCCCTATCACTGAGTAATTCCCGTGGAGCCCCATGGCGGAGAATGAAGCTGCACAAAATGAAGAGTGCAACTTCGTGGGCGGTCGCTGCTGGTAGAGCTACAGTCTCAGCGTAGCATGTCAGATGATCGACGCCAACAATAATCCGCCGGTTTCCAGAGCGACTATATGGGAGGGGGCCATAGAGGCCGATACCCACGCGGTCGAATGGGCGAGCCGGGCATGGGAGCGGCTGTAACATGCCAGTAAGGTGCCGCGGAGGTGTCTTGTTCTGTTGGCAAGTGGTGCAAGACTGAACGTATTTTTGCACAAAGCGATACATTCCTCGCCAGTAATATCGTTGGCGCAGCCTTTCGTAGGTTTTCAGGACACCTGCGTGAGCACTTTGGGGATATGCATGGAAATTCATGCAGATGTCAGAGCGCATGTGAGTTGGGACAGCAAGGAGCCACTTCCGACCACCAGGCATATTGCCAGGCATATAGTTGCGGCGGTACAAAATGTTGTCTCGCACGGCAAAGTGGGCTGCTTGTCGGCATAGCGCTCTCGTGGAAGGGACAGCAGACGGATCGGTAAGGTAGTCGAGTAACAATGCAAGGTATGGGTTTTTACGCTGCTCCGAAAGCATGTCAGTGGTGTCGATTGGTGACAAGGTGGTAAAAAGGTGTGACAGAGAAGCCACATCTGGTGTTAATGACGATCGCGAAAGTGCATCGGCATCCGCATGCTCCACTACACTAGTCATACCTCCGTAGATAGTCCTAGTTAGTCGCTACTCTGTGTTTGTCCTGTCTAGGACTCCCGTGTCTTGTTGCAAGCCCAATTTTAAGTTCACATTATATGTCTTACCAACAAGCCCTCCAAAAGCCTGAATTATTGGCTGCCAAATGTGGCGACTGCTTCAATCGGACATTATCTTGCCCTTCTCCGAGAACCCAGAATGGTTGTGAACAGATCTGGGAATCTGGTTTGACGCCGCCTTTCGTAGCTTCATTCCACTTCTATTATCAGCACTTCTGCTGGTGTCAGAAGTGTGCTTTTTCACATCGTGCATTATGGTTGTTCAACACCGTGTAGGGCGCAATACCGGAACACACTTCAATCACTTAGCATTATGAGAACTGAAACGTCTCTGCAAGGAGAGCCACCAGTGCCAAGATGTCTAACATACGTTATCTCCTTTGCCAATCGCATGCGCGTAACTCAATCCTTTCACGCAACCACTGAAGAGTACAGTCGCCACAAATTTTCTAACGAAGTGACCGACGACGACACTCGCCATCTTCAAAAAATGGTCGCACGTTCAACCAATGACTGCTATTATCAATCAATAAATCGATCAAGTTCATTTCCTTTCCATAGGAGGAGTGCAGGACAAAAAGCTCGAGAGCTCGACGAGGTCCCGATCCTATTACGAGTTGGCACTGCAGCAGGATGAAAAAAAAATCATACATGTAGAACCGTGGTTCTCACATGGGGGTCCACGAAGCCATTTATATAATCCACGACACCCTCGCCCGCAATTTTTCTTTAAGCGCGTCTGTGCCACGTACTGATGAAATGTCCAAAATGAAGTGGTGTGGCACGTTTATTTGATGTTTTGGTAGCAATAAAAGGCACCTGTTTGATGCTCCAGTTGTGTTAATTTACCTAGGTATCCCCCCCCTGCCATTTGCTGCAAGGGATTCCCCATCACTTCCACTGGTCCAGTCCACAAGGGGTCCCCCGAGACATCCATGGTTGAGAACCACTGATATAGAATACCAAATATACTTTTCATGTGTGACATGGCATCAAGTGATACAAAAATTATGAAACAAAAAACAAAGTGCTACAAATGGAGAGCGAGAGAACACACATGTAGTCATGACGTGGCATGCACAAGAAATGCAACAATAAGAGTGACCAAAATTCCGAGAGATGACTATTCGGGAAAATAAATTGATTAATATGTGGGGTTTAATGTCCCGAAACTACCATATGATTATGAGAGACGCTCAGAAAAATGAATTAGCTGGGTGATGTGTTTAATGTAACAATTTTAATAAGATGATGATCAAAGGAATATCCGCTTTTTTTGTGTTCTCAGATGCAAACTGGCCCCACTTTTTTTTTTCACTGAGTTTAATCCTTCTCCTCTGTCTCGCCTTTTATTGCATTACCCCCTTGGATAACGAGCATGCGTTTTTTCTTGCACAGTTAGAAAAATTAAGAAAAACTGGTTCTTTTAAATGTTTATACAGTTTTATTTAGAACAGAAAGCTTAACAAAGTGATGAGGGAAAAAATATCGGCCATTTTGGCAAGTTTTTTTTCTTTTCTTTCAGTTGCTGGGTTAAACTGGCGTTTATCTACGAATTAATCATCAGCATTCAGATAGCAGATGGATGGATGGATGAAAAACCTTTATTGGGGTCCTGAAGGATTCCACCCCCATCTTATAGGGGTGGGATCGCGGGTTGCTCCCACATCGGGATGGGGAGGCCCAGCCTCACCGCAGCATCGTGGGCCTTCTGGACAGCCTTGAGTTGTTGAATGATAACCGGACTCGTGAGCATTAAATGAAAGGAGTTCTCAGAAAATTCATTTTTTCTTTGTAAAGAGGGGCACCTCCAGAGCATGTGGTTAAAATCACTGCGATTCTGGCAGTCTGGACAAAGTTCTGAAATATCGGAGTAATGGCTATAAGTTACGAGGCTAGGGTATGCTCCTGTCTGAAGCATGCAAAGAGAGATTGCCTGTGGCCTAGACAACTTTTCGTGTGGCAGTGGAAAGGACCTACGGAGTAATTGATAATGCTTCGCGATCTCGTTGAAGGTAGTCAAAATGTCCCTAAAATGAAGGCTGGGGGCCGACTTCTCTGTCTGAGAAGCACAAGTCCCGGCGCGGTAAGTGAAGCCTCGCGCCTCGGAATGGGCTAGCCCGTTGACATTGGGAACGCCTCCGACCTTCAAGCCAAAGTGAGCAGGGAACCAAATAATAGTGTGGTGGGCGAGTTCCTTGTGAGCAAGAGTTCTCAAAACTTCCTGGCACATGGAACCTGAAGAGAAGGCCCTAGCAGCAGATTTAGAGTCCGTATGAAATATAAGTCCTTTGTAGATCAAGGAGTGCTAGTGCAATGGCCATCTGTTCCGCTTTGTAAGAAGAAGTGGTTCGAACCAACGCCGAGGATAAAATCTGACCCTTAGTATCTACGGATACTACTGCAAAGCGAGCGGAAACGCCATACTGGGCGGCATCAACAAAGCATGAAACAGACGAGCGTTTGTGAGCATGAGCTAAAAGATAGCAGAAGACAATAAAATTGTTTATACGTACACACCGTTTTGTTCAATAAGCTGTACATATTCCAGAACTTGAGGGCTCGTAGGGTCAGTTTCGCACAGCCTCTGTAAAATAAAATTCAAGTTACTCTGACCATTTTTTACCACCGAGTGGCACAGGGAGCAGCAACTAAGAGAAAGAAAAAGAGGCCTGCTGCTGCAGTGGCAATGCAGCCTGCGCTCCTCACTTCCCCCGTTAAAACTGCAGATCGCACAAGCTCATTTTTAAGGGGGGACGTGGCAAGTAAAACTAATTTTTTTATTAATGTACTGTTTGTGATGAAATTTGGTGTGTGTATGTGGATGATTGTGAGGATTCCAAATATGAAAACCGTTTTCAAATACCTCTTGTACTTTTTGAGTTACAAGCATAATTATACTAATTAATGCTCTTCACACTTAAAGAGATAATTATTGCTAAATGAAATTATTTTTTCATATTATTATGTTCCCAAAGCATCAACTTGTGCAAAGAAGCTATTAGTTGATTTTTCTAGTTCTTGTAACCATAAATAAAATTTCCAAAACATGGATGTTGTTTTGCGCACACATCGCAGTAATTATAAAATGTGTTCTAAAAATTTTAAATGATGAGTAAGAAGAGAGATAAAGCTTTATTGCACTGCTAAAGGCCTCCTGAGCCTAGTGCAAAAAACGGAACGACTCTATCAGTCTTTGTTAGAAAATGACAGATGTTCTAGCGAAGGCACATAGGCGAAAATCAAGAGTTGAGAAAACTGACTTTGAAAGTTCACTCTTGTTTGGAAGTTCACAACATGCCTGAAACACTCAGAATCCTCCTGGGCAGTAATCCTGAGATGCTGTGGCCTTGGCCTCTGTAGAGCGCAACCCAGTTTTGCGCTTCTTTGTCGTGGAACAATGCGCCTTTTGAGCCCTCTTTGCCCTTTTGGCATCCTTTTCGGCTGCTCGCCGCAAAGAGCAGTCTCCTGGATTGAAGCCCAGTTGAGCAGTGATCTCTTGCAGCGCACTCTTGCAGCCACCATTGAAACGGCAGACTGCATCTGCAACTGCACTTTCCACACTTCGAAGGGAGGCGAACTGGCTCTTGGACTGGAGTGACCAAATGAGGCTGTTCATACTCTCCACAGCGTTCTGGGTTTTTCCCTGCGCACACCTTTCAAGGAGCTCTTTGTTCGAGAGGCGCTTGTAGATTGGCAGCAGTGCCACTCGCACGTGAGGGGGCAGTTTATGTTTGTGAGGCGGCAGCGGCTCTCCCTTGGCCAATGCCTGATTGTGCGGGCACCAGGAGTCAGTCCCACTTGGGCACAGGTTGTGGTGTGGATCCTGGTCTGTGGATGTTACATGGTAATAAGTGGCCATGATGGCCCTCTCCATGCCAGGAACATCGTTGGGGTGGCTCTTAATGGCCCAGCCATAATAATTCGTCAACTTCTTTATCAGGCCCTGCGTCAGCCGGCCTTTGCCACCCATGCTCAGTCCTCGGCCTTTGGATTTGTGCTCATCAAGAAGGTTGCGCAAGGAAGTGCCCATTCTTTTTTTCACATGGTTCACACACTCCTGTTTCTTAATCACCATGTAGCCATACACCTTGTCTTGCGTGAGGGCAAGGTACGTACGGCTGTCACCGTCGCAGAGCACATTGATGTATCGAAGCTTGTACTTGGTAAACGATCTTTCAAACATGATCCTAGCTGCTTCTACTTCCATTTGGCCTGCATTAGCATCGGTGTTCTTTTGGCACTGTGGCTTGTGTTTCTCAAGCCACTCCTCATAGTTGTCGTCACCAGGCTTGGGGCCAACAGCACAGCCTTGGCAGTAGTTGGACAGGACACAGTGGTCCAAGACCAAGCCTGTGTACAGCTCGATTACACAGCCCACGCCAATATGACTTCTGTGCCCCCTCGTCATCCACGTGCCGTCGTAAATGACGTCAATGTTGCCTGGCACTCCTCCTAGGTCCTTGTAAATGTCATGCACCTTCTGTGCACTTTCTGCTTCAATGCGGGTGGCAGCTGATGTGGTGGCAGGGTGGCTGTACTTCCTTTGCAGTCTCTGGTAGGACTTGTGGTGCAGTGCTCGATGCGAAATGTCCATCGCAGAAAAAATGTCATTTATGGCAGATTGTTTTCTGCCAACTGACTGCACAGCCCTCAAAGCACGCACGTTTACCTCAAAGGGGTTCGTTTTTTGTTGCCCGGAGCACCTCGGGGACGACCACGCACTGTTCACTCTGCCACAATTGTCACAAAAAAGTTCCATCCTCGCTGCGAGTCCAAGGCAGTGCGTAGTCTCGAGGCGTATCGACCCTTCGTCGCACTTGTTGCACTTTACTGACGAAAGCAGACCGTTCAGCATCTTCTTATTTACAATGAAGAATGTGGAGTCCTTACCGCCGTCATTTTCGTCGCAGCCTTCGTTCAGAAGCTCGAGCTTCCGCTTTGAAGCGGACTTCGATGCTACGGCATCCAAAACATCCCGCCTTGTCTGCGCCCGCTGCGCGATTTCTTCACTGCTCGGAATCTGGGCCGAAACTCGCGATAAAATGTTCGACGCGCGCACGCCCGGAGTTGCAACGGCTGCCGACGCGGTGCCACCGCAAGCGGGTTCGCGAGAGCGTCCATCACGGTCGACGGCATCCGGCGGTCTGACATACGACGATGTGGCACCTTCCACACTCTCGGCCTCACAACAATCAGCGAAGGGTCTGAGTAGAGGCTCCGTGACGCTTGAAGAGCATGCTCCGTCCGGAACTGCGACTGGGACGGCAGCCGCAGTCGTCTGCCCTTTGTTCCAAGCTTTCCGACGCTTGCCGTACTTGTGGACGCTCCGGAACTTTTTTTGCGGCAACATAGCACCGCAGTATGAGCAAGCACTCAGAAGAGACCACCGATGTAAACAAAGCTTGGTAAAAAAAGCACGCGAACTATCACAAAAACAGCAAACTGGCAAAAAACGAAGCGCACGCCGGATGATTCTCGACACGGCGGCCGCAGATGCGCTCGCGCTTCCAAGGTTGCCAAGGTGCGCGGCGCAGCTTTGACCAGTAAGAGGTCGCGCCTGCTACCACGTGACCCGCGCAGCCAATTGCCGTTCTTCGTTTTCGTTTTTTTACTTGCTCCTCGCGCTTTTATTTTCACTCGGCGAAATACGAGACCGCGACCATCAGGAAGCCGGCTTTCTCCTCTTTCCAAAGCTACCAAAATGGCGGCCCACGGTCAACAACTTGGCGCGTTTGTGCGGCGTGAACAACACCGTTTCAGGGGCTTTTTTTTCGCACTTTTCGGCGACTAGCCTCGGCAAAAACACTATTTGCGGGATTTGTAGCGCACGTTTCGCTGTAATATTTTAGAACAAGGAAGTTGAAGGTCTGAAGATTACGAAAAAAAATAAATCAGAAAATCGCATATTTTGACCAAAATCGGCACTTTACTTGCCGCGCCCCCCCTTAAGCCCAGAAACGAGGCCTGCATGAAATGTGCAGTGCTGTCCCAGCAAACGCTGGGAGAGCAGCTTTTTTAATGCTTTTTTTATACAGTCTCAGTGTAACTGCTACAAGCACAGCTGCAGGGTACCCACTACACTGTAAATAATAGTTTTGTGTACCAGGGAGGCATCTACTTATGCTACTCTGTCGTTCCTCGGAGAAGCATGGTACCATGATGAGGTATTTATAGTCGAAATAGGGGTTCGGAAAAATTTTATATTATGACAAAATACTATTTGTTTTTGTTAAAAGCTTAACATATCAAATTACAAATGTTTTAAAACTGAAAACAATTTCCTTGGCATTGTTATATTTGTGAAGTGAATGTGCTTTATGGTCATTTTGAGCAAATTCTTGTGAAGATATCTAAACAAACTTGGTACCATTCTTTACTGCTGAACTACCGGCTAAAGCTTTTCGTTTTCTCTCAACCTTGATAGAATTATAATTATATGACAAATACCAGCTAATTTCTATCTTCCAAATTTAAAAATGATTTCTGATCAAACAAATAACTGTTTTGACGTCTAGTTTGAAGCTCAGCCTATGGGATGAACCTTTTAAAGGAAACATGCAGTTTTGGAAACTAACCTTTTTTTTACTGCGAGTTACCATAACGACCCGTAAAAAATTACCTAATTATAATGTGGAAGTTTCTCATTACTTTTTTGCTAAACGACATATTTGAAATATGTTTGCATATCTGAAATCTCCATTCAACAAAACACATGCTTGGTAATTTTTAAGACATTAAGACAATAAATAAAAAAGCTTTTTTAAGACCCTCATCCCCCCTTAAGGGGGGGGGCTACCATCAGATACCAACTTTTTTGTTTATTGAAATATCCTAATGAAATTTTCAGGATAGACTTATAGCAAAAGCATTAGAAGAACTACAAAATTTCATCAAGTTATGTTCACTGGTTTTCAAGTTACAGCAGAATATCAGGGTAGTGCACATGGTTCTCTTATTCCAGGCCTGGAGAACTTTAAAAAGGTGCTGGAACTGTGAAATTCACTATGATGATTCCCAGATTGATACTCCAGGGGGTAACAGAGCCCTTTTTTTGAATTTCCTTGCTTAAAAGTTTTAGCAGACCATCAAACTTTGTGTTCGTGATTAGGATATTATCAATCAAATTTTGATTAAATATAATAAATAACACACACAATACATTGAAAAAATGGGCTTGTCACCCCCTCAGAAATTTATTCATGTACATAATAAAAAAAGACTTACGGAAATCCAATGAGTGGTTCCAGAGATATGGCTGGAATAAGCAGCCTCAGTAGCCAAAAAAGTCATTTTGAGAAAACGACGTTTGAAAGTTTTGAGCACATAGGCAGTTCTAAAATGAACCTGCAGCGTAACTGGAGGTGTTCTTTGGCACTCTCTTTCTTTGCCGCCTTTCCATCTTCCCTAGGGATCGCTTCTTAGCCTTTTTCAAGCGCAGAGAATCTTTCTCGGCTGCCCGTTGAATGGCCAGGTGGCCAGGTGTTAGCCCCACTGATGAAGCTAGCTCTTGGGTGGCCCTGTAGCAGCCAGCATTGTATCTTAGCACTGCATCATGCAGTGCTGTCTCCACAGCAATCAGTGACGCATGCTGCTCTTTGGGCATGAGGGACCACAGCACAGAGTGAAAGGACTCTGATGCATTCTGCGTCTTTGCTCCCAGGCAGCGTTGCAGAAGAGAAGCCTGTGAGAGCCTCTCATAAATGGGTAGAAGTGCATCTGCAACATAGCGTGGCAGCTTGTACGAATGCTTCGGAGGTGGAACACCGGTAATCTTGCTGGCATTGTGACGACACCAGGAGTCTGCACCCTCTGGGCACAAGTCGTGGTGCGGCTCCTCATCCATCGACGTCACATGGTGGTACGATGCCATCACTGCCCGCCGCGTTGCAGCCACATCATCGGAATTGTTCCGTAGGGCCCAGCCATAATAATCTGTCAACTTGTTGATGAGGGCCTTTGTCAGCCTGCCCTTCCCTCCCAAAGCCTTGTCACTTTTCTGCACAAGGTTGCGAAGTGCAGTCCCCATCCTCTTCTGAACGTGGTTCAGGCATTCCTCTTTTAAAATGGGGACCAGTCCATAAACATTTTCTTGTACAAGGGCAGAGAAGGTGGCACTATCTCCATCAGACACGAGCGTTGTGTAACGGAGGTTGTGCTTCGACAGTGAGCGTGAAAAGAGGATGATAGCTGCCTCAACCTCCATTCTCCCCGATTTAGAGTTGGTGTTTTTCTGGCACACATGATTCTCCAGCCAGCATGCATAGTCTGCGTCTCCAGGCTTTGGCCCTACTTGGCAACCAAGGCGCTGATTAGACAGAACAACGGCGTCCAAGATAAGGCCCGTATGGTATTCGATAATTGCCCCGACTCCAATATGGGATGTGTGCCCACGCTTGTGCCATGTTCCATCATAACAAACTGTTATATCCCTGGTGAAATATTGATCCATTTCTTTGTAAGTGGCTTTTACAGCAGAAGCAGATTCTGCATAGAAATTTTCTATGCATTGTGTCTGCGGTTCCCTGAATTTCTTCAGGTGCTTCTGAAAGTTATAGCGCGAGAACAAAACGACGTAATGCCATACCAACTAGCCCAAGCTGCCACGCTTCTGAAAGGTTTTGTGATGGAGGCCACGATGGGACACGTTCATCGCTGCCCAAAAGTCGTTGAGAGCCGTTTGTCCCTTGCCTATTTGTTTTGTTGCCATAATGGCTCTTACATTCACATCAAAGGCCTTTGTGTCATCCTAACGAGATGAACTCCGTGAGCTTGAAACTACTCCACAATGCAAGCATACTAGCTCAAGCTTTGCAGCAAGTCCAAGTTGGGTGCCTCCTTGTACCTTCATCCCAATCGCGGTGCACCGGTGGCACGGGGTCCGAGATAGCAGGTCGTCTAGGGCATCCATTTGCACAAGGAAAAATTTTTCGCCTTCACTTGTAGCAGTGGCAGCTTCATGATCGCGCTCCATTGCCTGAAATTTCCGCTCCGTCGCTGGCATAGCGCCAAGTTCTCTTTGCACAGCAGCGCGTTGTTGATCCGCCGCCTCTTTCTCCTCGCAGTCAGGAAACTTGTTCGCAAATGCACAGTTGACGACGCGATCGCACTCGAGGCCGATGAAAGAGAAGATGCGGAAGCCACTGTCGATGAGCACGAGACACCAGGCGCACTTGTAACGACAAATTCTTGCACCCGCGGAGCAGGAGTCCCGTTGCTAGGCACGTCAATGCAACCACTCTCTTGCGTAGATGAAGCAGAAGCTGCCCCACAGGTACCGTCGGCGCACGTGCGCGCGGAGAGCCTCGCCGCGCGGACAAGCTTCATAGCTCGCTTCCTTGCACCGAACGATTGTAGCGTCTTCTTTTTCGTTGGGCGCATCGTGAGCGAACACAACAACGGTCTCGTATAGACAGTTGAAAATCATCTCGTAAAGACGGTTGAAAATCGTTTCGAAGACAGTTGAAACGTGGAGAGTATGCGAACGGCTGCAACGATACACGGAAGCGAGCGGAACACAAAGCCGCCGGACGGAGGAGCAGCAGACGAGCGGCCGCATCGGCTGCATTATGCGCAAGAGCGCTACGTCATCGCGCGCAGCAGCCAATGGCAGTCGCGGGCTCCCCCGCGTCCTTGGGGAGCGCGCGCTTCGCCCAATCCCAGCTGCGCGCCTCAGTCGCGGGAAACTTGAAAGCTCTCGCGAGCCCTCCAATCATGAGCGGCTTGCTCCTCTCCTGCGCTGCCGCCGGCGACGCAGGTGGCGGGGAAAGAAAGAGCAAGAATTCACAAACAAAACAACACCAAAATGGCGGCGCTCCGTCGAGCGGTCGAGAAACTGCGATCACGCCAAGTTGGGGTAATTTGAGCGCTCGCGCGCCGCTCGAGGGCCGCCGCGGCATGTTCTAAACTTTATTTCAAATGGTTTTGCGACGAATTAGACGTTGATATTTACAGAAAAGGTAGTTTATGACACATACTGCCCGAATATGTGGTTTGCCAAAAATCGACTTTTTCGCGATTTTTCGGTTTTCAAAGGCCGCGTTTAACCAAAACAGTGGCATCTGCCGTGACCTCCAGGGTTGACCAGAAGCATGCGCTACGATACAACAATGCACCTTGTCAACGTCGTGGCAACCTTGCGTGACGACATGCTTCGGTGGTCTTAAAGCTACCACCGAAGCATCCAAAACAAACCGTCGGTAGCAGGATTAACGACAAAGTACGGCTGCGGTCTTGCTGTTCCCATAAGAAGTTACTGTAGAAAAGGTAGGCTACATCTTGCGTTCCTTGACACAGCACAAAGAACTCACGTGAAGCAGTTCCATGCGACGAGACGCTGCCAACTCGCTGGTCTCTGTTGTGCTGCACTGCTGCGACAATGCCCGTGCATACGAGATGGCATGCAGGCAGTCGTCGGAGTGGCTGTCCAAGTAGCTCTCCACGATGTCGTCTGCTTCATCTGCACGGTCATGCCTCAGCAAAAGCTGCGTTTTAAAGCAAGCAAAACAGTAAAGAAATAGCTTTACTGGACTCCTGAGTAGCCCATAACCAATGTAGTTTGCAAAATGGCTTGTTCTTGGGCAAGTTGGAGCGTGCTAACTACCGTATTTACTCGCGTAATGATCGCACCCCCAAGTTTTGTCATCAAAATTCCATTTTTTTTGCCGCATAATGATCGCACCCCGAACTTGCCGCATCGACATATTGTGTGCCAAGTCTAGCCAATGATCATCCCCTTTATTATCTGTCGATTGTTCCATTAATAACTCTTCAAAACTCACTAACTGCACGCACCCAACACATCCTTAATTTTTGCTCACTGTTGGTGGAAACGTGCCATTTAGGATTGCAGTATGGGCAAATGTCGCAGTTTTCACTGAATTTCCGCCATGCGTTTTCATGTCTGTGGCAGCTGAACGCGCCTATCATTGTTTCTGTGATCTGAAAGCAGGCATCACTACGCTAATGCCGTAAATTTACTGATTTAAATGAAAGCATTCCTTATTTAGATGGAAGAAACTGTTCTGACGCGCGTGACGTACTCACAACCTCCATAACCGACGAAAATATAAAAGAAAATGCAGTCGCTTCGCTCCATCAGCCGCCATGTTTGTTTTGACATCCCACACTGTTACAGCGGCGGCCGCCTGTTGGTCGACCTGTGTTCATCCCACAGCAACATTTTTTTCCCGAGACCAGAATTTATATTTGTGTGCTTTGTGATCGTCTGTTGAAGCGCCGTTTCACCATGGGGCGGTATGCGAGCTTTACTGCGTTCAAGCTGAAGGCGCTTGACTACGCGCTAGAGCACGGCAACCGCGCTGGCGGCAGACATTTCGGCGTCCGATATTGTAAAAAACTGCGCGACAAGCTCATGGTTACTAACAGCACGCGACGGGCTTTCCGCGGACCCAAATTCGGCAAGTTTCCCGACATTGAAAAGGCAGTCCTCATATATGTGAAGGACATGCGCAAGGACGGTTGTGCAGTGTCGTTAGACATGATACGGATGCAGGTGCGCACAGTTTCCCGAAGCTGGGAATAGCCACAAAAGACTTCCGCGCCTGTTCCGGCTGGACAACACGCTTCATGCGGCGGAATGGACTGTCACTGGCATTTCCAACGCGCTCGACGGAACGGAAGATGACCCTCTGTGGGACAGTGAAGACACTGCCGGTTCCGCCAGAGAATCGTGCGGTGACGACACTGACGCCAGTGACGCTTCAGAGTCTGAATGAACTTTAGGGGGTCAGGGAGGTAAAAAATAAAAGGGCATCGTTACGATGGCTATTATAGGTTATGTTCATGATAGCTATCGTAGCAATTCTTATTAGCGACTTTTTTGCGTTTTCGGTGCTCGGAATATTTTTTTAAGGGAAAATTTATGTCGCGTAATGATCGCATCCTGAAGTTGGAGTCAATTTTTTGAAAAAAAAAAAAAAAAGTGCGATAATTATGCGAGTATATACGGTATCATGTTTCTTCACGCTGCATCATGATTATAATGAAATGCCAGTCAAGAATTCTTAGAAGAATGACAAGACAATGAATGCCAAAAACAACACGACAAAACAAAAGAAGCTGAGAAAACAGGATCTAAAGTTTCATCCGTCAAGTCCGCTAAAAAAAAAAATTGGTGCGAATCTACATGTTACACTGTAAATGTTGTCGAAAGATGATAGTCTCGCGGCTGGAGAGAATGAACAAAACGTTTATGTTCTGCGCAAGAAAATCGGTGAATGGTATTCTGAAGGCGCTGCGTTAGAGTGCCTCGAGCGTGTAGTGGAGGCGAACAAGCGCATCTAAGCACGTTAGACACAAGGGCCATCTGGCAGTTATCTTTGAAAACGAAGGCGCGCGCGACCATGGAGAAAGATCCCCGCCAATCACGGAGGTGATCAGGTGTAGAAAGCAAAGAGACGGGCAGGTGCCACCACTGTGTCGTCGTAGCAAAGTGTTGGAAACAATTTCTTGAGCATCACGTTGCACTGTCAGCGCAGCGCGATAAACGTTACAGTCCTTAGAGTTACTTGTGTGTGCCTCTTCTAGTATAAAGGCAGACATACAAAACATAGACGTATTATTATGGCGCCTCAGAACGCTGAACCTTGAGCAATATAGGTGGGCGCTGCGGATGGAGTTGGCCGTTAGAGGTATCGTTAGGGCGGACAGACAAATGTACATACAGACAGACAGACCAAAATTTTTCCGTTGAAGGTCCCCAAGAAAGACTATCGTCTTTAAAAATATATCCGGAGCCCATCTCAATCGGGGTGGGCTCAGATTTCCAGGGTGGTATCTCTTTTTTCCCACTCAAGGCTTTTCTTTCCCAGAAATGCGTATTGTTTCCTTGTGGCTTTGGCTACAATCAGGTGGCTGTCACTAATACCGTCCATAACCTTTCCACCCCATCAGTAAGTTTCACAAAACTCATTTGCAATAATCTGTGCATGTGTGCTTCGATTTCATAAACTCACCCTTGCAATGCCGATTGCTAGTTTTCTCTTTTGTTCACTTCGTAGAGCGATCACCCTGGAAAGGCACAGGTCCCAGGTTCAATCCCCAGAACAGGACGAACTTTTCCACTAAAACCTGTGCTTTCCGAGAAATCCGTAGTACAATTTTCTTCTGTTGTGACTTCGACTCTAATCCGATGGTTGTCACATATCCCTCCAATCTTACTTTTTCAATATAATTGAGCCACCTAGTTGATGCAAAAATCTTCCACACCAAGGTGCAATCGTGTGACGCCGACCTTTTCTTTGAGAATCGCACAGAACGGCGGCCTCTACCATTTCACCTCCATCTAAATGCATCCGTCGCAGTCAAGATAGAGCCCGCAACTTTTGAGTCAGCGGCCAAGCACCATAACAACAGCTCCAACGTGGTGGACATCTCGAAGTTTAAGAAGACACCCCTTGATGCAAGGTAGCGATGCATGAAGTACTTAACTACAGCTGTGAGATGTCAGTATGTAATGTTCTAGCCAGTCTGAGACTTGCTACTACATCGGAGAGATTGCCTTGCTTTTTTTTACTGAATACAATCAGCACAATTGAGATATTTAGTTGATTTGCCTATCGCACTTTCTTTTCGGCCAATGAGAGCTTTTGGTTATGGCTGCTAAACTGGAGCAGTTAGAATTGTCAAGCCAAAAAGATCTAATCTGCATGAATACAGAGCTATGCCGTGACCTTGTCATCAACCATCAGCTTCAAAACATACCAAGGAAAAGAAAAAAAAAACATTTTGCAAATAGAGCGTGTGACCAATAATAAAGCTCACTGGCATCATGTGAAAGACAATGTCAATTGGAGATGCCAGAACACTATTCATTTATTTGCTTTGTGAGCCCTAGTTTGTGGGAGACTGCGCTGGCTGACATGGCTACCTAGAAGGCTTAGGGATGTGCTCACCAAAACCAAGATGGAGGTACCTTGATTCGTCCATCGCGAGGCATCATACTAAAACAAATACAGTCAACTGCCGATTTTTCGGACAACCGAATTTTCAGGCATGCTTAATAATTCGGACATCTTCGCGGCACCACCACGAGCCCCATAGAATCAATGTATAAGAAAGTATGAAATTTCGGACGCTCAAACCCCCCGGAGTCCAATATTCCGAACTTTTTGACGCGACGGAAAGTCGGAAACTACCACTGACCCCCGGTGGAAACCACCACAACTGCCTCACGCGGTTACGATCGCATAAATGAGCATGCCAATCTACTGTGGCGGCATCTGTTGCTTGGACTCTTTGATCGTTGGCGGAGAAACATACACGGCCTCCGAGATTCTTAACACTGGCCGTGTTTATCATGCAAAGGCGCTTCGCTGACAATCGAAACTATCCACCGGGAAATTTTTTTGGCGCCAATAAAGTTCCTTTCGCTTTAGCGCTTGTGCGTGCCACTCTGGCTTCCCGTGCAGCGCTTTCACGAAGCGTTTCACCTTTTCGAACTAGAACTAACCGTCACACACCGATTTGGTCTGGCCACGCTGGCTATCTTGAATGTTTACCAGCCTTACCTCCGGAGTACCCAAGGCACCGTCGCCTACCGTCGCGGCGTTTTGTTTATGCAGCCCACATGGAGTTTGGCTAGCGTAGTGCCTGGTTGTGCGATCGTGTGAAGTGTGCTCTGCAATGCTAAGCCTAGGTGCTTCGACGCTCGTCAGCAAACTGCTTTCTTCACATCGTGAGGATTTCGCTTGCCTGCGATGGCCCCCACTCCGCCTTCATCGTCCTCACCGATGGCAGCACGGAAAACAGTACAGTCGGTCAACGATGAAGAAAAAAGCCGCCATTATTAAGTTAGTGAAGAGTGGCCGATCGCAGGCTGACGTTCATCGAAGCTGACAACGAGCTCGACTTCTGCGCAGAGCTAACCGACAACGAAATAGTCCGTCAGGTTATGGCGGATTCAGACGACTCCGATGTCGAAAAAGAGGAACCAACGCCTGTGCCACCTACGACCGCCGAATTGATGCGAGCATTGATGACGCTGTCATCAGTGTACAGTGATGACATGACCCTTGCTCAGATCGAGGCGAATGTGATCACATGCAAGCGGAACGCCGTTCAAACAAGAATCAACAAGTTTTTCAAGCCACTGCAGCTCTAACACCGGCTGCCCTGACGGCACCCGCTGTCGGCTGCATGCATTTTTTTTTTTTTTTGAACGGCTCGCCACCCCACTGATGCTTTTGGCAGAGTTCCGGAAGTCTGGTACTTCGACCTTGACCCTCTTGATCCGAGAAATATCAATGAAATGGTGCGTGTTTTGCTTGCATTGAGAAATATTAGCAAAATGGTGCGTTTTTTTTTTCTTGAATTGAAAATTATGAGTAAAATAATGCGTTTTTTTATTCATTTTTTCGGACTGCTCGAATTTTCGGACGGTTTTTCGCTCCCTAGAGGGTCCAAAAAAATCGGTAGTTGACTGTAAAGGCTTATTTCCAGAAAAAACCCCCCAAACTAAGCGCAGTATCCCGATGGGTACTGATGGCGTGAGAATAACCAAACAGGCGAGACGAAGGCTGCATAATTGGGCCATGAACTGCACATGGGGCCACATGACAGTCACAGAGCAAAGCACAACAACAAAAACTGTGTTGACTCCACGCGTGGAGCAGGCCCAGCAATGCAGTACCTCAAGCGTTTTAGTGAGGAAGACGTCCATTGTCTCTCGACACGCAAATGCCGCCGACTCGCTGTTAGATGTGAACAGGGGGCGCCACTTGTCCAAGGCACTGGCAACGCTACTCAACTCCTCAAAGGACTCGCCAGCCTCGGTGTCCACATCTGAGCATTGCAGAGACAATTTTCAGAGCAACTCACCACGCGTGCAACACTAAAACGAAATTTCCCCTCTCCGAGAGTTCCACGTAAAGGACAATGTACATTTACAACTTTTTTTTTTACACATCTTTGCAAGCAATGCTCTTAATTGAAAACTATGGCACAGTAGCAGCCAGACAATTTATAAACATCTTGTATCGGTTTGACGCGTAGTTCAATGCATGGATGTTACCAGGACAGCAACTTGAGTTTGAATAGCAAAAACTTTTGAATAGCAAAAACTATCTGTCATTTCCAACCTTAAGACCAGCATACCGTTTAGTTAAAACAAAATTTTTTGTGCCTACGCATTGCTTTATGCCCTAACATGTCTCAGCAACTAGAATACCTGTCCCATGAACACGCGAAAATGAAAAAGGGCAGCTTTTAATCCAGTAATATTGCATCGGCAACTGGGGGACGTCTCTAGGGCAATATGCTATAAATCTGTTTTGAATAACATAAGCACAATACCAAAGTAAGTTAACCAGAATCGAGTAAGGAATAATATGCCTCCGAATATCAAAATTGGGTTTTTTTAAAGCAGTACCTAATTTCTATTCTCTTTTAAAAAATGCTGAATAAAAAATGAAAAGGGAATATGCAACGTAACGAAGCAGCCCAGGTGCTTACCAGCCAACTCGTTTTGGCGTGAAGGTGCAGTGTGGCTTAGCCACTGAAGGTAGTCAAGTAGACCCAAGTAGCCCCTAATGAATGCATCCAGCTTCTCGTTAGGCCGCAGCATCTTACGATCCACTTTCAGGTGTTCCTGGACATGCACAAGGAAAGAAGAATGCGCAATCAGCAATCGATCTCCTCACAAGTCTTTTTCAAGAGCTCCCAGTTAGTTCCCACTCTATATTATATCAGTAGAGAAGAGCTGATTTCTGTGACAAAGGCTTGACGTACCACTGACACCTCGTTTGCACTACCTCGGACATACGGGAACGCTGGAACATCTCAGAGGCAGTCTTTTTGAACCTTAGCCTTGCCGAAGTCCACCAGACGAGCACATCATCTGCTTATGGCCTTCATTTGATTTGATTAATATGTGGGGTTTAACTTACCCCAAAACCACCATACGATTATGAGAGAAGCCGTAGTGAAAGCTCCGGAAATTTCGACCACTTGGAATTTTTTAACGTGCACTAAAACCCGAGCAAACAGGCCTACAGTATTTTTGCCTCCATTGAAAATGCAGCTGTCACAGCCGAGATTCGATCCCGCAGCCTGTGGGTCAGCAGCGCAGTACCTTAGCCCCTAGACCATTGTGGCGGGCCACTTATGGGCTGTCTGAAGGATTCTAACAAAAGAAAAAAATATACCATTACCACAGTGTTCTAGGGATAGCTTCAGTTACAAATTTAATACCTGGTCTTTTACATTTCTCGATCGCAAATCTTTAACAAGTAAAATAATGAACCGAGCCATTTTTTTCACCTTTAAAGTTGAACTTCATGGCTGTGCAAATTTTTTCCTGGACAGGGAGTTTCATCGCATAGCTGCCCGACAATACAGCAAAACTACCTTTCCAAGTGGCTATATTATATATTGGTTTATTCGTTCAATTTCGGAATACTTCAAAATTTTAAATCATTTCAATTTTTCTACTTGCAGTGGCTTCAAGTACTGTCACACTCATTTGAATAATCGAAGTGCTCAAGTATTCGCGTATGTCTACAATTCACGCAACACAAAGCTTTGTTGCTCCTATTACTATGCCCATAATTATGCCTGTAAAGAGCAGGAATTTGCCAGTGAAGAGCTTTCAGCCTCACCTGGAAGAAGGTTCGCAGGTGTGCATGCTGCATCTGCTTGAGGCAGTACACAATGTACTCCAGGGCCATCTCTTTCTTGTCAGCCACCAGGAGGCAACGCGTGTGCCTGCGAGCAGAGGACACTTACAAAGATGCCTACAGTGGAACACACTCAAACCTCGGATATAACAAAATATCAGTTACAACGAAGCAGGTGAGAACTAGTCTTGCAATAGATATAGCATTAGTAACAAACCTCTATAACGAATTCTCAGACATAAAACTTATTTTTGCATAGGATGCAACTTCTTCATAATGAGGTTTCAGTGTACAAAGTTAGAACGCACTTCAGAAGCGTGGATTGCTCACAAGTTGGTAACTCATCATAACGGTGGTGCGTGAAAGAAAAAAAAAAACTATAGCACAGAGGGAGGGATACAAGACAGTGCAAGTTTAAAATGCCGCAGCGTTTCTAGATCAAAGGCAGGGGACACATTTCTATGCCAAGAAGTGCACACTTTTAAGGCAGAACACTGCAAGTAGTTTTTAAATTATCACTTCCCGCCAACGTACCATTATGAAAGCTATCGTTTGCCAAGACAGAGTTATGAAGCAAATAAACCCATTAGAATTACCTGAAATGAGTACAGAATACAAAAAAACTAACGAGAATGAATGTATCAAGCCCATTTTAACAAAAAGTTGCGAGTCGAATACAAGAGACTGAAATGCCTGATTGACGCAGACTCTCCTGCAAATGTTCAACATATTGTAAACTTTGTTCAAATAGGTTTAGAACACCAATTCCTGTTTTCTTGCCTTCAGCACACATTCCAGGTCATTCTGATATGCTTATTAACTTTGGAGATGTCAGTTTGGGCAACCTCTTTCACCCAAAAGCTATGCAGTCTAGCCCACATATAACGACCCCATTTAAAACGAACAATATCCGCATGACAGTGAAAATATACATTGGTTCAATGGCACAAAATCACACTTACAACGAACGTCTTCGAGCGCCGCTGATCGGTTATAGCGAACGGAGTCAGCGGTCTGCAGACTTCCCGGGAAACTACCATATAGTGCGAAATATAGGTCGAGATTTTTTCCAAAAAATGTCAATGAAGAGTCACCCCTCGACCTATATACCGGCTTTTGGCATAAACCAAGTGATCGTCTGGCAACAAGAAGCGTCAAATGCTTTTTGGGCATCAGCATCAACTCTTTGGGCCGAAGCGTTCTCTGCCGACGCCATTTTTCTTTTCATGTTCATTTAGTGTTCGTAGCGAGTGTCGACAATACTCTGCAACTAGCCATGAATACGAGGACGCAACGCCAGTTCACCGCCGTGTTTAAAAGAAAAGTTATCGAGTTCGCGAAGGCAAATGGCAACATGGTGGCACAGCGGCAGTTTGAAGTGTCCGAGAAAAGCGACGGGTACTGGCGCAACCGAAAATCCAAACTGTTGGTGTGTAACACGAAGAAGACGTTTCGCGGTCCCCAAGCTGTGCACCCGGAACTCGAAGACAAAGTAGCGGATTTCGTCTGCAAGTACCATCCAGATCCCTCCCTGCCGGTGAATGCAGAGATAATTCAATCAAAAGCCGTCGAGCTCGCCCGTGAAGCCGGTCTATTAAATAAAGACTTTAAGGGATACATTTATTGGGTCTGTCGCTTCATGCGACGCAAGGGATTTGCCCTTCGACGGCGCACGTCGATTTACCAGAAGCTGCCAAAGACACACGAGGACAAATTGAGTTACAACTCCACGTGAACAGCCTCCGGCGGCAGCATGGCCGCATGCTAAGCCAGATCGGCAACGCCGACGAAACGCCGAACGGTATGGTTCGACATGCCGACGTCCACGACTGTTTGTGAACGCGGGACAAAAGAGGTGAAGTTTTGTCGACCGGAAGCGAGCATTCGCGCTTCACCTTTGTGCTTTCCTGCAAGGCCGACGGCAGAAAGTTGCCCCCCCTTCATCGTCTTCAAGCGGAAGACGATGTCGAAGGAGGCCTCCCACAGATATCGTCGTCCGCGTCAACGAGAAGGGCCATATGGACGAGGCCCTAATGCAGGAGTAGATCCGGACAGTGTGGAACCGGCGGCCCGGAGCACTCTCGCAGCACCGGAACATGCTCATGTTGGATGCGTTTCGAGGGCACCTGACCACATCGCTGAAGGAGAGCCTTCGCGACGGAAATGCGGATCTTCCGGGAGGGATAACGTCAATGCTCCAATCGCTAGACATCGTCCTTAAATGGCCACTCACCAGTCTCCATACCAATTTTAGTTAGACAGTGGAAGTTGTTGGGTGTCCGATGAGGAATGTGTTGCCACAAAAATTTTTCGAATCGGTTCATTACGAGTGGAAAAAACAGGTTTTTTGAAGTGGTGCGAAACGAGGATGAGATGAGGCGAGCTCGAAACTCTTGCCGCTCCTCCGCGTAGCCTTCGCAGCCAAATCTCTTCCCCACCCTCTTCAGCATCCGACCGAGAGGTGACATGAGCATGACGTGCACGAACAAGCCCAGCCCCCGTGCACGCGAGCGGCGTTGCTTTGTTGACCAGCGTTATTTTGTGATCTTCTGCCTGTTTCTGCGAGATGGTTTGGAAACGCTGGCTTAGACGCGGTAGAGTAGATGAGCCCAATGAGTGCACAAACGCGTAGGAGCGTTCCACGGCGGTCGTCTGCTCAATGCGCTGACCGCGGGGACCCGAACGCATGCGAAACGCTGGCACATTAGCTCCGCATCTCGTAGCATTTCACGGGAAAGAATGCAAGAAAAATGCGCAAAATTTTTTATTCCGTCTTATTATTTATTTCTAGTTTTATTCATCTCTTAAAGCAACAAATACATAAACTACGCATGTTGTGTTCAATAATTTTTGCCATGTCACGTGGTATACTGTTGACAACGTCAGAGCAGTGTCGTCAACGTGGAGGACACACGTCCCCGCATTGCCGTGTACGTAGGGCCATTCCTACGCCCACGTCATGCCCCATTCTCTACGCATGCGCGGGCAGAGGGGAGGGGGAGCAGCTTTCATCTTGAAATTTGACCCATTTCCGCGGCTCGTAGCGTTGCAAATTTTGGCAGATGTGATCATGAACGCCTCGTCTACGCATTGCACTTGTCAGCTCAAAATTGTCAAACCTAGTGAGTGGCCCTTTAATAAACCTTTCAAGGACCGTGTGCGTGCGCTGTGCACCGAATGGATGGCTGGCGACTACCCACGGACCCCGACAGGCCTGCTGCGTAGGCCACCTCTCGCGTCACTTTCTGGTTGGGTCTCCGAGGCATGGAGGTCTCTGCCTGAAGAGATGGTGGTGCGCGCATTTAAAAGTGCAGCATCAGCAACGCTCTCGACGGCACTGAGGACGGACGACATGCTATGGGAGGCGGCTAGCAATAAGCAGTCGTCGTCGGAGGAGAGCTCCGACAGCTTGGAGGACTAAATCCGTGAACTATTCCACATTTTTCTTTTTTTGCTGGTCAAGGTAAGGGGGTCGACCTATATTCCACCTCGACCTATATTTCGCATTATAACGTACTTTCGACCACCGATCAAGTATCGGCGAGGTGCCCTAACAGGAGCAAAAACGCCGATCCTGCCTCCGCAACCCTCTATTTGCTGCTCTCCCCGACCCATGGAGGAAGGAAAGCTGTTTCCTTCCTCCATGCCCCAACTGCTTTTCGTTACACACCCCTCCGTCCTTTGTCCTCCCACTACTCTGAGCACCCCGCATCGCCAGACGAGGCCCGTGTTTTCACACTGCCACTGATCTTTCGAAGACCGGCCATCTACCCTGTTTTTGATCGCTGGTACTGTCGTTGGCGTCGTCGGCCTGGAGTGACCAGACCATTTGCCAACATCGTCGGCCACCGACTGTATCCGATAGTCTGCGTATAGCGCATGCGCTCACGCTACCCCACCGACTCTGATAATTTGCGATTCGTTTCATGTTTAGGACTTGTGCTCGCTCACTTCGCACACTCGACTCCAGCATGCCTTCCTAGCGCGTACGGAAGTGCGAAAACGGCTGTTAATTTGCGAGGAACGAATCGCGAAATATCGAAATTCGTGAGGCCACACAAGCCCGCTAGCGCAACAAAACGATTTTTTTACCACGTTCGCCGACTCTTTGAACACCGCTGCGTGCACCGATCCAGGCGGCCATGCTTTGACTTCTGCGCGCGCAGGCGCATTCCAAGTTTTTCTACGTGCCAGTTTCGCAGACCTTTCAAGCAAGCTGCCCAACCTGCCTCCTCCCAGTGTGTTTTGGTTTTCAAGGTCACCCTCCCGCCGTATCTTCCCTTCTCTTTATCGCAACTCCATGCCTTTCTCTCGCAAGTCTGCTCTCCTCTCTTGATCACAACCCCTTCGCCTGTCTCCACAGCTCCGCAATGCCCGCCACGCTGGCTCCAATTAGTTTTGTTTTCTGACTGGAAACGGGCCCAGAGCTGTTCCACGCGTTCTGACACGTGGGTCGCGTGTGCGCGTCTTGCTAGCTCTTGGTGTGCATGTGTGGTCATGATGGCCGCCGGGGGACTAGCACGCTTTTTCCTGCCGCTCAACACTATGTTCTGCTCTTCGAAACACGTGCATCACGGACTTTTTGGGGCAAAAATAGTTTGTGTTGTCACTCGAACTTTTTTTAAAAGCTGTGTTTCATTTACTACGAACTTAGGGATACAGCGAACGTCATCCTCAGGTTCGTCATAAGCGGGCTCGACTGTATAATATGACATTCAAACCTCGATATAACGAACCCACATATAACGAATCATCGGTTATACCGAAATAAATGAGAAATAGCCGTCATAGACACAGTATTACAAATATATGTTTCTAATGAATATCTGTATATAACGAGGCATTTTCATGGTATGTGTGACGGTAATACTAAGATTTGATTGTATTTCAAGAACTGCTACCTATGCTAGAAAAAAATGCCTGCTAGAAATCTGTACACAAATACAAATAAGCACAGCAAGTTCAGTCTCAAATGATAGGGAATAAAAAAAAAATTCTTCAACACCAATGACCCTCCTTATGCAACTAAAGTTGTACGGTTGGTGACCTTGCCATGAGAGGTCTTCCCCAAGCATTTGGGCGAGACAATTTCTTTAGCCGAGGAGGCAGTCGGCTGCCATATTTAGGTCACAAAGGCGGGGAGTTTCCCTTCTTAAAATATGCTGAAAATGTAGCAGACCAACCAAAATTTACGATTTGTTTCAATTAACTGAAAAGTGGGATTATCAGATTTAAAACACCAATAGTGACGCCTCCCTTCCTCACCAAGCAAAACTGAAAAATAATCTGCACACAGACTTTCCTATAATTACACAAGTGTCTATGGGAGCTGCAACGCACGGCACTTCACCAAGTGTGGGAGGTAGCACACAAATTTGTCTGATCTTCGTACTTTCGGCTACACCTGCCTCCGTTTGGCTTGGAGCCGCTTTGTCACGAAACGACAATCGGCAAATGTTGAGCAGTTGCACTTCATACTCGCCTTTTAGGCTCCGCAATCGAAATCGGGTCACAAAATTCACAAGGATGCATTCTTTCATTTGAAACAAAAACCAAAACACAACAATAAACAAAGCCACAAGTGCGTTCAAACCCCGCAAGCACGAGGACAAGGCGAATTTGCGACCATCATTCTCATGGTCGCTGAACGATCGCAGCTCCGGAGCAGCTCTATTTAATTTTAGCAAACTCTATATACACACACACACACACACCCCTTTCACTCCTGCAACAACTATATATTGGAGATTACAGTACGGCACTTGCGAAATGCACACACATGATCAACAGTCAGCCACATCTGTGTCATACGGCCTAGAGAACCCACCTGATGAAAAAGTTCATCTGTTCAGGTGAAGCAAGGTTTTCATGAAGGAGCATGCCCACCTGAAAGGAAGGCAACTTCACAATGAACGATTTACGAAATGACACTGAAATCAAACAAATAGGACTAAGGAAGTAACCATCCCTAATGAACAACACTAAAGGAGTTCATAGCCTCGCGAATCGACCACCACAAAATTTTTAAATTGGTCTAGTGCAAGCGAAGTCGCAGAGATTCGTCGCGCACTTCCATTGTTTTCCAGTCTTCGCCCATCCTGACGAGCGCGCAAGAAGCTATGCACAGAATGATAGCAGAGAGGAAAGAAGTTGCGTCGCGCCAATCGTGACTAGAGGTCAAATTTTCAGGCATTCAAAAACAAAAAGCTTTCAGGTGCCGATCGTAACACTTTTTTTGGCCTCTGTCGTCGTAAATGTGAGCACAATAGATGTTTACATACGAGGTAATATTTTCAGGACAAAAATATGCGAGACCTGTATCTACAACAGGGAAAAAAAAGAAAAACAAAGTCTAGGACGTTTCGCACTAGCGCGGAGCCCCAAAGAACGGGTGAGGTGTGCAGCCTTCTTTGTTCCCTGCTATTTTTTTTTTTTTAACTTTCATCTCATTTTCTTGTCTCTGTTCTTCACTTTTTTTTTTGTCAGTTTATTTCCATTTCTTGACCTCAGCACTACATAGAGCTCCCCACTTTTGAGGGTTACCTTTCTAATTCTTCCTTTCCTTCCTCTCTCCCTCCCTCTTGGTATCTTCCTTCATCTGTCTATACATTTCCGTCTTGGCAATGATTTTTCTCTCCATACCAGGGTTTTTTTTTTTTTTTTCTCCCCACCCTTTCTCAGCTTTCCTGCACATTTGGTATGCTATACCATGCAAGGCTATGTCATGCACCCATAGCGCACGTGGACAGCTGAATGGTTACAATGTTCTCTCTGGCCCCTCTTTCTGTTGAAAAGGTGTGCGAAGACAAAGTGCTCACAGGTATGATGATAGCTAACACCTTTTGGCATCGTCTGTTAGCTCCCGTTTATACTGTGTCCAACGAAAAAACGAGCCCCTAAATTTACACCGCTTTCCTTTATTCCCAGCAGGGGTCTCGTACGGAGAGAATTCGGGCATTATGAGAGGGATTATTCGTTGGGTACCAGGTCGTAGTATCACGTACGTAACAACAACAGGAAAAAAAAAAGGAGAGGTCCACACACGCCGCAATGGCAACAGGTGGCACGCACCGACACTTCTGCATTTGTACATGTTGTATCCTATAAAGTGGGCATACCGTAGCTCATTGGTAGAGCATCAGATGCGTTATTCGAAGGTCGCAGATTCAAACTTGCTGGTGGCAAGTTATCTTTTCGTCTATGTTTTTTCCTTCACATTAACATTACAATTACTTTTAATGACATCCGCTATATTTTTCTTGGCATCATTGTCCGTTATGTCTAATATTGTGTTTAACAACAAAAAGAAACAAGCCCTTAAATTTACATTGCTTTCCGTAAGATACAAGTGGTTTGATTGTGTCCGACTTCACAATCGCGGCCTAGCAGAGCGTGATAAGTAATGAGGCATGCCTGTAGCCATGCTCAACGGCCGTGAATTGAGAGTCGTACAATCCGACCCTGTGAAAACCTCCAACAATGTGTTCAAGCGTCTTCAAAGACAAATGACATTCCACGACCTTCAAGGCCTTGAAAACAAAACATATTTGAAGGGTTTTCAAGGATTTCAAGGACCTATGCACACTGTGGGTTTTTTAACATTGTCTAATAGATTTGTGGAGTCAACCAAAGAAACCAGTACGAACAAATTCGCCGGTAGTACTGCTTGAGCCTCTTGAACATTTTAGCTCAGCTTGCGAAATCACAGTTCACAAGCTGCATCAAAATACGTGGAGGAGCCTAGGCGGAAATCAGTTGACACTCACTGGCAGTCAAGCCGCGCCAGTGAAAACGAGATGAAGATGAATGACAGTCAACAAAACATGTTGCGAGGCTAGCTGCCGATACATTAAAATATTCCAGCGCTACTTTTGACCAAGACAGGAAAAGTGCATGACAGCGCAGGCTCTGCACTGTCCTGAGAGCGCCTACCTCCTCATGCACTTTTCAGTATTGTCCCAATAGAAGATACTAGTACACAAACTGCAAATATATTCAGCTTGTTGCTCTAAATAACAACACTGGCGTCGAGTCACAAAATACCAGTCCCAGCTCTGTATTTTGCTGCCAGTCGCACATGCTTTACGTGCGACTGGCAGCGACTCCGGCCGCGATTTCTGCAATTTAGCCTGCAAGCAGGACGCACACTTCACGAACCCAGTGAACTGCATTGACAAGTCAAGACAATATCCGTTGCGGTAGGGCTGGCTCGCCGATGCTGAGCAACGGAAACTTCAAGATGAAAGTAAAATATCGTACATGTTGTCTGGTTATTGTGTGCGGAGAGCACCGACAGTGCATACCATGGAAACGAAGAATGCCCCTTTTGGGGTGCCTTAAAATTATGTCAGTAAGAATGAACAACCTACACAAGAGGTGCACTAACAGCTCCAAGTACACCCTGTGGATGCGTCGTTAGTCTTCATCTGGTTCTTTTATTACACTGGCGCTTTCAGTGCAACTATGAACCAACTATCCCAAAAATATGCCTGGACAGTTGGCACCATAATAGGTACCTTGTACGAGAACTGGTCGGCAGGATAGTGGCCATCCAGGAGTACTTCGAGGGCCTCGGCAGCAGTCTGCCACCGGTACTGACAACACAGACGCTGCACCAGACGGGCCAGAAAGTGAGCACGCCGGTTCACTGGTCGCCAATCCTCCACTGCATAGATTGGCCGGGCCTACTCAGGCAAGCACCGCACAAGGCCTCCTCAAACAACATCAGAAAAGTGCAGAACCGCAACATTCTCTCGCAACCCTTGCAGTTTTCTTGCAGCTATTTGAGACACCGACGGTAGTACTCGCATGACGTCACTATGCTACACGATTTTTCTGTGGTTCTAGCACGAGCGATATCGGTTAACAAGGCCTTGCAACACCTTTGCAAGTAACCACTGATGGATTTCATTAAAGAAATTTACTGCCTCACGAATCAAATGCTGCAAAACCTTTTAGAGATCGTCAAGTATAAGCGAAGCGAGAGATTTGTGACATGCAATAATCGCTTTGTTTTCTCTCGCACCAGTGAAAGTTGGGCCACGCGCGCCATACACTAGCGCACTTTTTTTTTCGAACACATGCCTAACTTTTACCGTCATCATGAGCGCACAAGCAGACAAGTGGCGTCCCCTTGCAGAAGCCTCATAGCTGTGAATTCGGGTACACTCAAACCTCGATATAACGAACCCAGATATAAAGGTATATTGGTTATAGTAAAGTAAATAAATATAGTTTGACAATAGACACAGTGTTACAAATATACCTTTATAACAAATTTTCGGATGTAACAAACTTATTTTTGTGTATGATGCAACTTTGTTATAATGAGGTTTGAGTGTGTATGGCACGGTCATTTGGGTAAATGGCATAATTTGTAGAAAAACAAGGAAACAATTTTTTCGCTCACTTGGAGAACTGTGAATTGCAGGTCACGCAACATGCTATATATGTGTGGCTCATGTGCTCTCAGGGCCCTCGACTACTGATCGTCAGCGTTTTTTTGACCATGTTGAAAAGTGTTGCAGGGCCCTTTTACCCTTATAAAATTGTTGGCCACTGCACTATGACATGCGATTAAGTGCCCATTCTTATTAGTTAACGATAAAACTTCATGTAGCACTCACAAGTAGGACAACAAATGCAAGAAATGAGTAACAGGCACCGATTTTTATTTCAAATTCATAGTGAAAACCAAGGAAAAAAAAGAACAGACTAATCATTAAAACACAGAGCCACAAGATTAGCACGGTCTTCACAAAAAAAAGAATAACTGTTTTGAAAACTTTTCAGTTTGATTACTGTGCAAGCCAGTCATCACACAAAATATCCAACCACAAAGCGCAGCAAATGTGGAAGGTCCTTGAGGCCTTCCACATGAATTGATAGATTGATATGTTGTGTTTGAAGGTCCCAAAACCACCATATAATTATGAGAGACGCCGTAGTAAAGGGCTCCGGAAATTTCAACCACCCGGGGTTCTTTAACGTGCACCCAAATCTGAGCACACCGGCCTACAGCATTTTCGTCTCCATCGCAAACGCAGCTTCAGCAGCCAAGTACCTTAGCCACTAGACCACTGCGGCAGGGCTCCCACACGAAGGAAAGGGGACAGCTGCATCAGCAATCCGTCGGTTCAATTATGGGGCAATGCACAAAAAAATAAAATGCCGAGCACCTGCGGAGCTGTAATGTGGGGCCGTTTAACAAGGTAATGACACTCGAAACTTGGTTAATCAGCTACTTTATTACCGAGGAGTGTGTTAATCTCGCAACCCCACTTGCAAGCGATTATGACCTGGTTTTCCTTCTTTCTTCCTTCGTTTATTTTTGCTTTTTAAAATGAACTTCACTCGAGAGCAGGGCTCGGTTCAAAGTACCAGTATTATAGAAGCAAGTTGGGCTAGTTGGTGCGTGGGGACTACGGTCAATTAGCACAAGAAACAAGGAATGAGGTGAAGGCAACGGACAGGATGCAACACCAAAAAAGTGGGGCTTTTTGTAAAAGAAAAGCAGCCAATCCGTTTTTAACACCCACTATAATGCCAGCATAATGAAGCAAAGAAAAAAAGGAAGAAGTTTGCATTTAAATGAGTAGAGATAAAGCTATAACCAAAGTGCGAGTGTGCTTCCACTTTTCTATCATATTATTAAGAGAATACATACTCCCATGCAGCATTTCTCAAACCTGTTTTTGTATCAGCCGACAACGGCGCTTGCGAGGACGTAGATGGTGCTTTCAGATGTTTCAAGAGTGCCCTCTGTGGAGAAAAATTACAACAATGCATTTGCTCAAGACGACACTGAGCAGAAATGTAGAGCTGCGACATTGACAAATATTCAAGTGCAGGACTGCAAATTTTACTGCCTTTTCAACAATGTGAGAACCCTGCAACCGAGAGTCGCTAGACTTCCATACGAATGAGAGGGTCAAGGAGCCTGTGCAGCAGAAATTATGGTTTCGACATAGTTGGTTGCGAGTGAAAAATTGAGTTTTTGACGAGTAAAAAAAAATCGTAGATTCAAAACAAATAAGCAATGAGAATCTTGGGTCAATGTGAGAACGAAAACAAGGCCTTCAGCTTGGTAGATGGGTGTTTCACAAAGGAGCCATGACAGTGTTTGGAACTGTGTTGGAAAAAAAAAATCCTACACAGGAGCGGAGCATTAAGCTTGATTATCACATGTAATATTGTGGGTGACAAGAATTTCATCAAGCGTCACACCATTTCAATTGCATAATGAATGATTGGTTTAAATGGTGGCCAAGCATAATTTATCCTGATCGTTAGCCACAGTAACAAAGTGTACAGCTGCGCATATTCCTAAATGAAATCCTAACAGCCACTTCACAGATTTGCAATATGATTAATTAGAATGTATTGGGCACTGCAACTCTCCTTGCAGTGCTCATTGTTACACACACAGACATTAACATAAAATTCCGAGCAAGCACCCTATTCCTCATTTCGAGAGATATTAAATATGCGTCTATGACCAAGGAAGCCTTCCCCCCCCCCCCCCTTACAATCATTTTTTTCCACCAGTTTTTGGCAACAGTACAGTAGCGCTCCCTAGAACCCAAGAATCGAGAGTCTATATATATAGGCAGATTTACACTACCTTTACAGTGGAGTGCCTCAGGGTTGCATTCATGAAATTTCACATGAGGATTCCCTCACCTTCAGTCAAAACAATACACGCACATTCAATAAAACACATCACCAGAAGCACAAGTGTGCATTCTGAGAAGCTCTTCCACAGCCATCTTGAATTTCCATGCACAACCAAGCAAGAGCCCCCCTTTCCAAGTGTTGTCCAATCATACTTCACTGCCAGAGCTGTACAGTTGTTTTTAACTGAGAAGCCAAGGCTCGCATATAAATGTGCACACGATGTGAAACAAGGCCTAATCATTCTGTCAAGTTGTACTATTGAAGATGACGCTGAAGTGTCCCTCTTTTTAAAAAGCCTTGCTACTAGCCTAACGAACTTCCACTAACTACAGTACCGACATACTGAGTAGTAATCTTCAAACATATTCCACAAATCTCATGAGACTCAGAAAACCTTCACCCAGGCCTCAATGCAAACCTTTATTACACACACACTGGAAGTTGTCAGCTGCCATGTAGGTAGGCTTTTACTGCTATAGCCTTTCTGGCAGTGCAACACACATGTAATGTAGAGTCGCTAGTTCCACTTATATTAAGCAGAGTTGAGCTTCCTTTTTTTGCTGAGTCACTCGCGTTTTTCCAAGCTTATTTGTATTGTCCCAGCAAATATAGATGTTCAAGTGAATCCTGTTCACCAATATGTGTTGGTTCTTCACTGATGACGTGCTTGTCGATCGAGTAGTTGAGCATACAAATGTTCTTTGCAGCACAGTCCTCCCCCATTCCCTGTCCTACAAAGTCAATGTATGGGGCAAACCTTACGCCCCCCTTCGACAACCCTCCCTCGTGCACACACCTGTGGTTCAATGTTGACGTCAAACATACGTTGGTGGAATCAACAAGTAACGCTGGCAATGTGCCTTCAATCGCATGGAGACTGCCCAGAAGACAATGTAACAGGTAGCTGTGTGCTATCGTTCATACCTGCGCATATTATCGCTGTACAAAAGAAATAGGCAAATTGTGCCAGCTTTTTTAGGGCTTGTTTTGCGACGAGTATTCGCTTGTTCACTCGGGAAAATCTGGGAACACTGAATGCAGAGGTCGTAGATCTTGGCACCAACTGTCAATACCCTTAGATTTTTAATCCAGATAAATGGTGGAGCTTATGATTATGAGGAATGCCATGGCTGAGAACTCTGAATCGATTTTGACTACTTGGTCAAAGTAATACTTCGGCCCAATCAAAATTTTGGAACAGTGACCGATAACCGAACCCGCACCCTTGCAATCAGTAGCTTGACAACTTAGCCCCTAAGCTATCACATCGGGCAAATAGATTTTTTTTCCCCTACTTCGCTTTCATTACATAAAATCCTCAGCTAAATTGAAACTACAGATAACTTGTTTTTCAATAGTCTTCCTACGAACAACAGTAGAAGTAAAACTTACAGCATCCTACAAAATAAAAGTTAGCAATAAGACAAATTGATTGATTGATACGTGAGGTTTAACGTTACAAAACCAGCATATGATTATGAGACGCCGTAGTGGAGGGCTCCGGAAATTTCGACCACCTGAGGTTCTTTACCATGCACCCAAATCTGAGCACACGGGTCTCCGACATTTCCGCCTCCATCATAAATTAGCAATAAGACAAGGCATTCTTCAACGAGTCTTAGCAAAAAAAGGGTATAAGCAGAATAGACAAATATTGGCACATAACTGCGGCTCTACATCCCAAAACACGACATGATAGACGCTGCAGTGGAAGTTTCTGGAAATTTTGACCATCCAGTGTTCTTTTACGTGTGCTGACATCGCACAAAACACGAGCCTCTATCTTTTTCACCTCAATTCTAATGCGACTGCCGCGACCTTCTTCGCGGTCAGTAGCCGAGCAGCCTAGCTACTATTCCACCTAGGCATACCGAGAGATTAACAGAAGTAATTGGAGACCAACGCGGCAAAACTGTGACAAAAGGTGCCACTGTTCCCGAGCGTGCCGATAGCATGAGTACCAAGCACATTCCATTTTCCAAAGCAGGGGTGGCTGGCAGAAAGCAGCCCATCTCACTGCTGGCCCATCTGAAAGCCCACTTCCTAAATGAACACCTGTGCACTACTTTTCAACAGACTTTGTTATGCCCGTGTAAATTTAAAATTTTTTTTTCTTGCTGGAGTTGTGAGTAAGTGTACATTTATCGAAGTTGCCTTGAAAGAGCTGTTGGTTGAAGTATGTTTCGCTGACCACCGATGCTTTGAAGAATGGAACGTGCTTGAAACTTGCTCTCTGTATGCTTGGGAGCAGCAGCGCCACATGCGTCTCAATTTCGGTGCTCCGGCCACCACTCGAGTGTGCTGTTCCTTTTTCGTTGCGACTGCACATTCTACAGGTGACCACAGCATCCGAATGCATCAGGAAAGTGATGTGGAACATGTTACACCAGCATAATATCTACATCAAGCCACGTCATGATTAAGGAAGAATGTAGATGCAAATTTTTACTATATTTTCATTCACTACTTCCGTAATTTCCACACAGCACGAGAAAGATTGCTTCCCCAAAAAGTGGCACAATGCGCCCAGAGCTCTCCTTAAAGGGACACTTACCAGCAAAACGATTTTTCGTATCAATAATGTACAATTTCACAATCCCAAAGGCACCACTCTTACCGAGACATGACGCTTGGCAAGCGAGAAAAAGCGCGAGAAGAAAATGTGGGTGGCGTCAGCACCTTTAAATTCCCGCACTAAACACCGTGATGCAAGAAATTTTGAAGGAGTCTACTGGGTCCTACATAGCTTCAAATCGATTAAAATGAATTACATTGTAATTTGAGGGTGCCACAGACTTAGCATATCAAGTTTCAGAAAATTTCATCGAACCAATACCACAAAAATATATTTTGAAATTTCCTTGGGCATGCAGGAAGATTTTGGTGCAAAACTTAAAAATAAAACTTCAACCTTGATTGTGTCTGCTAATAATAAACTTACGATAGTAAAAAATATAGCATAAGTGCAGTTTGTCAATCTAAACCAAGTCACTGTTCTTTAACTCTAAACCTTGTAAATTTTAATGATTCGCTAACATGTGAATAAGCTACCAGTTTGCAGATAAAGGAAAGGAATCCTCAACAAATGGAACTGGTGATTATATGAACAGGCCAAACTCAAGACAAAGCGTTTCGCAATAGAAAGATGTAATAACTTATCCCTGACCTGAGAAAACATCCTTGGTTGAATGAAAAGTAGGAAAAAAAATTCCTTGACGATTATGATACTGCCCAATACAAAATCCGAGCACAGCTTCATGCTGGAGCAAAGCCTGCCGTGTTTGAAGTTTTGGCTTTGCACAAGATATCAACCGTGCCGTAAATCGCAATTGCCCGGAAGTAGGGAAACGCACACTGCGCTATCATTCGTCTTTCTGCAGATCAGCGAGGTACACGCTACACATCTGTATTGTGATACGTGCGCTTCATCGATGCTGCATATGGCTAATGGCAATAGAAAAATTACGGTAGGGCACTTTGCAGTGGGTAGAAAGCACTGAGCCACACTGGTTGCTTAGTTAGTATTTTGTGATGACTGTTTGCTATTTTATTTTTCTGCTGCACTATATTACAAAGGTTAACGCAATTTATTGCCAGACATGATGCCTGTTGTACAAGATCTTTTTGCGAATGCGTTTCGAGCAACAGTGCGGTTGTGGTAGAATACCAATCTGCCATGCACAGGGCCCCGGTTTATGTCCCTCTCTATGCAAGGTGAATATTCTTTTCCGATTTTTTTTTTCCCCGCATATATCTGTTAGCGATTGACAGCGCTGAATCTAGGAATGGCCGCCGAAGAGCTCCACTTTAATATAAAGAGTTAGCCAAGTCACAAAAACACCAAACCAGGCATAAGAAAGAACTGTAAATTTAAGGACTCGTTTTTGTTGTTTGATGCAATATTAATGGGAACAAACAGACGATTATGCCAAGGAAAGTACAAGTGATGCTATTAGGAGAAGTCTAATGGAAGAGGTGAAGAAAGGAAAGTTGAATAACATATTTCGAGCCAATTGGTTCTTCGTACTGAGGCAAAAACGGCGCGTACTGACGAAAATAGGCACACACAAGTTTGTTTGTTTTCGTTGTTATTGTTGATGATACATGCAATTTATTTTCGTGGCGTGTGAGCAGCAAAACTTCTGTTGTTAGTCAGCGCCTGTGTTTTTTCATGTGTGGCCGTTCTCGTCAGAGCGCGCTGTTTTCGCCCGCATACTACTAATGAACATTTGTATCTTGAATGAATAACAAACTGAACTGATCCTATGTGCCTGGTCACGAGACCGTTGATTGAATTAAGAAAAAAAATGTGGACGAAATGATAAGTTGTTACCGGCAGGATACGAACCTGCGACCTTCGAAAGTAGCAGGTTCATTGTCTGTTAGTTATTATTGCAACCATACACGACATCCACCCAAGGAGGATACGCAGACCTTAGGTGCCGCCAAGCGAAATGTTTCAACGCAACAGGCGAACTCCAGTGCCATGAAAAAGCGCACGCTAACTTCACACAAAGCAGCGGAAGTAAATGCATTACCGTGATTTCGCGTACTACACAAAACCATTTCCTTGTTACATGTCACTCCAAAGCACTCTGGCGGGTGACAAAAAAAAAAAAAATGACCATATCACTAGGCTGCACGCACGTGTTTCGCGAAACGCTGACCACAACACAACCGATTACAAAACTATTCCAAGAAAAGTTGAAAACCGCAGTAACCGCACTTATTAAATTATAAACTAAAGCGCACAAACGCTAGTATGTCCGAGGACGCTGGTATGAACACCAGCTACAGCGGTCTAGTTTAGATTCAAGCGAGGCATAAAAGCAGTTTAGGCACACGCTACAGGCCGCCGGGTAGTCAAAAGCCGCAGCAGCTCTTCCACCACGGTGTGCTTCATAACCATGCCGGGATAGAAGCACGGAAAACCACATATTTCTAAAAGTTTATCTAGTCACGCCACACAGATAATGCTACTACGCTAAGTGCCTGGACCAAACGCTTATGTTCACACCCGACGTAATGATGACGAATAAACAGTATTCGTTTTAAGAATGCTATTCCTGGGCACTAGCGAAAATGGAAGCGCTCCCAGTGTATTCTATTACGTAACTTTGAACTACGAAAACGGCACGCGCGTTCACTACAGTAACTAAGTGCTGTCATACTCAAAACGGAAAGTACAAGGGCGCGTTATTGAGTTGACGGAATTACTTGGGACGCCGGCATTGGCGCCAAGAAAGTCGGCGCCACTCTGTGAGAAAAATGTGGTTAACTTACCCACTGACGGATGGGATACTCTTTGCAAGCTACAGTACTGGTGCCTGACATATCAGACCTTATAACTACAGGTAAATTACGTGACAACTTGCACCTGCACACGAAACGACAACCACGCGCGCAACACGCACGTTCGCTGCGAACTTGTGGCTTCTGGCTCCGACTTGTATTGGCTATCTGGTTGTATACATGCATAGCCTCCTAACTTTCCTTTGCCTGCCGAACTAGCGCGAAACACCGTTCATCTATAGCGGCGCTGCCTACGTAGGAATAAAAGTATTTGTACTTGACCTTTGAGATCGGCAATTTTGGCGTTTGCTACTACTTTCAAAGGATGCCTTGTATTAAAAAAGTTTCTTGCTGAATGACGGCGTCACTTGCGTAAGGTTATTATAAGTACGTTTATGCTTTTTTAAAACTTTCTAAAGAGACTTTTGTTGCATATAAACTTCAAGAACGTAAAAAACTGTTTGAAAACACCCCTACTTAGGTAACGTCAACACCATAGTTCTGACGACAGCCGCTTTCCAAGTGACCGCCGATAATTCGGCAGGCAAAGGCAATCTAGGAGGCTATGGTACATGTGGCCAAATGTTGTAGCGCAAACATCGCTAAATCGCAGCAAAAAAAAAAAAAGTCGCTAGAAATGGGTAAAAAATGTTCACCAAGAAGCTAAAGAAAGAGTGACTTGTTAGGTGATTTGGTTCATTCTTACGGTAGCTTTTAGCGCGAAATAAAGACGAGAGACGGACGAGCGGAAACTATCAACTGATTTCATTCGAAAGGCGCACGCGTCACCAGTCACATTATCAGAAATAAATTATACCAGCTGCAAGTGCTCAAGTAGTCTCAAGTAAGCGCTCAAGGCCCTCTGTCACGTTGCATGCCACTGCGTCAGATTGCTGCAGCGCCTGCCACTAATACATTTTACTTATTCCTAATGTGATTCGTGACTATGACTTCGTTCATGTATATATATGTGACGTAAGAAGGCAGGGATGGTTAGGAAAAGTAGAGGAGGAAGAAGTGCTTGAGAAAAAACATGGGGTATGAGCCAGGCCACGTCGCCCATTCATCATAAGCGTCACACGAGTCGACAGGATGAAGACCTGGCGGCCACTCCATCAACCGGGCACCATCTTCGAACGTCTCAGCAAGACGCAGTGACCAAACGTGGACCACAAAAGTACATCCCAACACTACACCAAGACCAGCATCATGACAGCACCATCAGACGACCTTGACATCCCCAAGTACACCAGATCAGCGGACGACGGACCCGTACAGGACTGGTTCAACCTTTTCGAGCTCCACGACGCCGCTGCATCCTGGTCGGAACGGGAGATGATCATAAACTTCACTGACTACATTTCAGGTGAGGCATTCAAGTTTTACCTCACCCACATCTTCGAGAATGATGAGTCTTGGAAAAAGATCAAAGAAGAAATGATCAGCCGTTTCAAGGAATACGATGAAGACCTGTCCCTACCTCATCAGCTGAAGGCTTTTCAACTCAACCATCACAGTTACGCGAAGTCTTCCCGCAGTAAGCGTATTTCTCAAACAAGACTTGAGAGTAAATATCCCACCATTGTACCATCATATGACTCGTCCGAATACACTTCACGCATTACAACATCAACTAGGGACTTGCACGTCGCAGCAGAGGAGGTAATGCCACCGTATGCCAATAGGAATGTAGACTATTTTGCCAAAAAACTGAACTTACGGTTGGATTTTTCACGGGCGATCAAATCGCCATTTCCAATGTGTTTACGGCACCACAACACTCCAGGTATTACTGAACAACCCGAATCACTTGATGCTTCGTGTCACACACATGGCCCACACGGCTTCGGACGCGTGACGGCATTTACGCATGACGAGTTAGTAAATCCGCATGAAACCAAACCAGACAACGAATGTTCACAGAAATCACAATTGTTCAAAGTATTCAGCTCAGCAGTTCCACAAAAACAGAAGCATTCAAAATCAGCATCTTGTGAAGAAAAGTGTTCTGCAGAAGCGTCGAGTGTTCATCAATCACAAGATCGAAGCGACGTGGCCTGGCTCATACCCCATGTTTTTTCTCAAGCACTTCTTCCTCCTCTACTTTTCCTAACCATCCCTGCCTTCTTACGTCACATATATATGAGATGTCCCCCGCTACGCCACCGATTACCAAAGAGAGGGAAGACCACTCAACCCCTTGTCTATCCGGTTCCCTCTTGGCTATGTGTCTCAATTATACAGGGATTCGTGGGGCCGGGAAGTAAGAGATGCTACGACATGCTCCTGCTTAGTGATTCATTTAATGTATTACTAACTGTAAACATCGTATACCCGTGTACATCAACCACTACACAAAATTATAACACATGATTTAGACACTCGTGACGTTCGACACAGGGCAGGCACATAAAGTAACTGCAACAATACAAGGGTATGCATATAAAAAAACACGACGACACAAAGGATGAAGTCATCAAAGAATAAAACCACGCAATGTCTCAACGCGCCGCTTCCCTGCCTGCAAAGGTCGTCTAAAAATAGGGTGCATAAAGTTCGTCTCACGAATGGTCCGTGTTGCCAGTCTTCATCGCCTTCATCTTCTTCGTTGTCTCTCTCAGCGATTTCCATCTCAATATTCTTTCATAACGTCCCGCAATCACTCGTTTCCCATCTCTACCTTTCATTCCTCGTAATATCATCTCTGCCTCAGTCATCATCTCATCGACTCTCATTGCTATCTCTTCACACCGTTATCTTCCTTTTCCATTCTGTCTTTCTACCATCTCGAGCTCATCGCATCGTCTCTCTGACTCTCTTCGCATCGTCTCGTAGTCCCTTTTCGTAGGACCCGATTCCGCCCCCCCCCCCCCCGTGGCACTTAACCAATTGCCACTGTTGACACGACACATTTCACTGTCAGTCTGTGTGTGTCATCTTCAACGGCCGCCCCCGCGGCCCGCACCAGTGGAAAACCCTCTCCCAAGCAAAGCCGAGCAAGTAACTATGTACAAACTCAAGCCTCAGAGAGACAGATGAGCGAGCTGTCCGAAGACACGTGAATTACGGGCGAACAATGGTCTCAATGCTCTGACAAGAGCATCATCTGTAATGACCATCGTCCGGAGTTTCCAGTGTTGTGCCGAAATGTTTTCGGTCGAACCAATTGCCCCGGTTTCTCGTACCCGATGACCCGTTGTCCAGACCAAGTCTCAACGTCTCCTCCATGCAGCTTGGTGTCTCCCGCGAAATTCTCCGCAGCCGCCGCTTCTTCGTCATTCAACGCCGCGGGGGGCCTACCGCGCAGAACGCAATAATGAGCCCCGGAGCCATGGAGGCTGACGGAAAATCAGGCTGGGCCCGGCAGAAGCGCTGCAGCAGGGTCGCATTCACTGAACCAATAAAAGGTGCTCTGCTGCTCCCCCATGCCACAAATCTGAAGGGTGCGCGCGGAGTATTGCCACCGTACACTGTCACACTGTCTGTAGACAACAAGGCGCCGCCCGGTCCTTGTGTTTGCGCGGGGGGGGGGGGGGGGGCGAGAACAGTAGAAATAATCCTTCCAGGTACTCCACTCCGGAATGCCCATTCGTTACCCCGAAGGTTTTCTTTTTCTTTCTTTTTATGCGCGGGTTTAAGAAACGAGCGTAAACACCTTGAAAGGACCGGGGTTCAGTCCGTGTTTGCGGGGACGTCACACATAGTGCACGCCTTTCGAATAAAATCAGTTGATAATTTGCGCTTGTCCATCTCTCCTCTTTATTTCGCGCTAAAAGCGAGCTTAAAAAGTAGCTAAGTTACGTTTTCAGAAGTGTTTTGACAGAACTACGCAGAACATGCATGAATAACGAGAAAAAATATCCCTGATTTGATTCCATAATTTTGGGGTTGGCGTGGTTTTAGTAAACTTGCGTTAACGCTAGCGCGCCTTTCAAAGAGGAGCTGAGAATGTATCAGAGCTCTGTACATCACGGATGTGCGAATATTCGAAAATTTATTACATTGAACAGCGTATAATAGAATAACTGAATGCTTTTTGAATATGTTTTGAATAACCAGCTGCAGCACTAAGGAGGAAGAACAACCTGTTGGAAGAGCAACGATCGCTTTTGTTGTTTTATAATTGTCAGGGTGCCCGTAGTCCAAGGTGCATGCGAGATGCATGTGCAGGTCAGGCCACACCAAGGTCAAGCTGTTATGTAAATAAACTCTACTCATCACCAGGTGAGTGATTTCTTGCTTTAAACTCCTGTGTTACTGAAGTAAATGTGTCCTAAATCCTTTGTCATTTGCATCAGATGCCTATCATTAATTCGTGAAATAATGTTTGCCGTTCAAGTCTCTGCTGGTGAGAAAGCGGATGAGAAAGCTTAACGTGTCTTTACATTAATCACACATATTAAACAACAAAAACGAAAAGCTTATAATCTGTACTGCTATTACCTTAAACAAGCGTACGAAGGACTATTCCTTGAAAATCGTGAAATGGGAGATGTACATGTTGCGGAAAACGGCCATAACTCTTGCGGTACATATATAATTATTGATCAATAACGGCTATTGGCAGGGTATCGTCGTTTGGCGCTGAAGATGATGCTAGCATGCCTATTTTGGAACCACATGCAGCACGTGGCAAGCTGTATTAATGGCATTTTGTCGAGTGTGTGTGAGTGTGTGTGTGTGTGTGTGTGTGTGTGTGTGTGTGTGTGTGTGTGGGTGTGTGTGTGTGTGTGTGTGTGTGTGTGTGTCATGAGGATATTTTGTCGCAAATTAAGAACAATGAAGGAGGACGAAAAATCGCGCGTTTTGTCTTTGGCAGTCCAATTTTTTTCTTCCACTTAATTCCCTTCAGTTTTCGACGAACTATACAGTTCAAAACCACAATGTCCCTTTATGCTTTGCTTGAATGAAATGACCATTAATTTGTTTCATATATGTACAAATATTTATCACTCAGCACTAATAATTCAGAAAATGTCAATAAAGTACAGCTAGAGATAGCTAAAGTAGCTAGATTAGGAGTTAAAGTTTAGATAAAAATGCTATAGGAGAGCTACTCCTAGCTAAATCAAAATTTCAGTAGTTAGCTGAGCCCCAAAATAGCTGTACCTACTACGAAATAGCTAAAGTGGCAGCACT